AGAACCCTGCAGATGGCACAGAGTTACTTTGGCCTGGCGCTATGCAGCCTCAGAGATAGCGCAGCCTGTACCTAGCAAATGAGAAGAGCTGTCGCTGATGAGCCGGCATCGAGTGACCGCGCAGCAAAGGACCGAGGCGAGTCGGTAATGTTGGCACTATCCCAGATTCCTAGCATCTTACGACTCGAGGAAGAGGAGTTCCGGTTGGATTGCTCCGATCAAACAAAGACTAGCAGAGTGGTGGGTGGGCAGCTTTGCGAGTAAGGTACCGTTGGCGGCGCTTCAATTTCTCGCACGTGAGGAGTGATCTAGTGGGCCTGGAAAATGTAGAGATCATTGATTATGACCGTGATGGGGTCAGAGGCGAACAGAACGTCTTTGGTAGGCTGACAGAACAGCTGAGAAGCCTCAAGGGTTCAAGGGAATGAGTGCCATGCCCGAAGTAGTGTGGCATACCTAGGAGCTAGTTAACCATCCAATTGTCGCTGGGTTGTTGAGAATGAGACAACCGGGGGACGTTGGTGTGGTGACTTGATGAAGGCGCCGTCTGCCGTCTGCCGTCTTCGCCCGGTGGGAGCCCCAGGACCCTGAGCTTCTGCTGCGATGGAGGATGAGCATGTTAGGGAGCTTGAGGTGTTGACCTTGTAGCTAGTGGTGCTGCTGGTGCTGGTGTTGGTGCTACTGCAACAAAAGACAGACTGGAAGGGAGCGAGCTGTGCAAGATGGGACGGAGCTGCGTCCGGTGCTGGTGTCCGTGTGACAGGCGTGTCCCCTGTATCTTCAATGTGCCGTCCCTACCTAGTGCCAACTGCCCAGAAGGTTACAAGAAGCGATGGTACTCGAACGGTCAGCGAGCGGGACGCTTGGAATGCTGGGCGCGCGAGCTAAGGAGAAGTGAGTGGGGATTGTTACTTTGCTGAATCCTGACAAAAGCTGGTTGATTGTTCGTGTCGGTGAGGGAAAAAAAAAAAAACAGGGCGGCATGTCAATGCCAGTGTGCCGGATGGATGGGACGGAGTGGGAGGAACCATGGATGCGATGGAAGGGTGCGATGGATGCAGAGTGAGACCCAATGACTTGAGGCTTGAGGATCAAGGAGGGGGCAACGCCGCACGGGGGGGGGGGGGGGGTTACGACTGCGCTTTGCGGAAGGAATCCACCGGCCGAAGATGGATGCCCGGGCAGAAGTCCGACAATCTACGGGGGAGAAACGGGTGAACGGGGGACGGGGCAGACGGGATGGGAAAGATGAAGACTGGGGGGGTTTGGAGAACGGAAGGAAGGGCACGAGGGTGAAGGGGCGAAAGGGGGGGATGGGAAGGATGGCGAAAGGATGGGGAAAAGACGAGAGAAATGCAAAAGATGAGGAATGCCAGTATGGAATTGGTGGGCAATTTCCCATGAGTATTTTCCATTGGCATCGGATCCCCTCGCTTTCTGCATTGTGGCCCTACCTAGGCTAGGAAGGTAGGTTGATGCTCAAGTCTCAGGCATCTAGACGAAAACAGTAAAGCAAGAGACATAAGGGCAAGAAAGGGGAGGGCCAAGAATGGAAAACTTGGAGAAAAGACGGGCACGGGATTCGGGAAGGGAACATGGGATATCGGGCAAGACAGCAGCGATACCTAGTAGCCTGGCGTGCCTATGCAGTAGTTTGTATGTACCCAAGTTAGGTGGCCACCGGGGGGCGGGGGCGTATGGGACTCGTAGAAGTGGAGGCAATTTGCCATAAACTTGGAAATGGAAAAGAAAATGGGAAAACCCTCACCAACAAAAGTGAGGGCTGAGTCGGAGCTGAAGCACAAGATGGGGAAACGGTGCCACGGTGGAGGTTTTCCGTTCCAGCTGGGTGCCTCCTCCAACTTTTGATTTGGCGACGTTTGGGAACTTTGCGATTACCTGTGTACGTAGGTACGGAATAGACGTACCCCCACGAGACCTCACGTGCTTGGAGGCAATCTGCCATGGCAGCAGTCATGGATATCTCCGACCCGAACTTGTTCTTTCCCTGGGACCGCATTTGTTGTCAACGTGGAAGGTACTAACACATCCATACCTTCCGCTGTGTATGTGTACCTATCAACTTGGGCAAGCTATAGGTAAGAGAAGGTACTCGTAGCACCTGCCAGATTCCTCTCAAAAGTAACCAAAGTGTCTTACCTAGGTAGTCAACCACCTTAGCTATGTCGTGTACGTATACCATCCAGCGTGTCATCCGACGGCCTGCCCAACTTGGAAAGTCGGAATGGGATTGGCGCTTCACCTGAAGGGAGATGTTTATCGATATCTTAGTGTTACCGGCGCAAATGGCCGCGTCCCCGTTTCAAGTGTGCCTGATTTTGTGTACTATAATTGATCGTCACTCTCGTTGTTGACCGTTGAAGCCTGAGGATCTTCAAATATCAGGGAGGTACAGACCAAGGGGCGTTGCTCTATGAACCATGTCAACATGCAAAAGCTTGCGCTGTTGTCTTCGGTGACTTTCCGGCATGATGCCCTGCCATGCTTCCATTTCACAATTCTCGTAGAAACCCAGGAACAATTGTTGACGGCATCGCAAACGACAATGACTGGGAATCGGCAGGTTTGAGGATTAACCGTTGGACACTTAGTAAGATAGTCGGCGCATCATCACGACTGCATCAGGTACACGAGTCGAACAGAGTTGATGGAATAGTTCTAGGCCCTCGGGACGATGAACAGAGTTTGAGCGAATTGGGCAGACAAAGTTGCAAAGCTGATAAACTTTGCTGGTACGCTGTACATGGCTACCTGAACCTCAAGGCTCAAGGCTTCATGGTGGTAGGTAGTAGTGTACGAATGTTCGCCGAATGGAAAGAGAGGAGCCCCACGCCGAAATGTCAGCTGAAATGGACCACGGGTACCTGACCGTTCGTAATGCTTGCCTACGTCATTCCCCATAGAAGGTCCGTCAGCAAGGGGGGGCGGTTTGCAGAAAAGCCAATTTGGCGAGGACTCATGCCCAAATCTCGCCTGCTGGGCGAAATGGCCTGATGATACTATTCAGCAGATTGGACAGGAAACCATTTGCTGAAAATCGGCAACGAGGCAGATTTCGATAGCTTCGCAGTTTGTATTTCGTGCAAGATAGTCCTACGCAGCATGAAGAGGCTAGAACACTCATGGCTGCGAAAATCGGTTCCCCCAGTGCCCGTATCTGAAGGTACTGTGGTTGTGATTGATGAGTAGGTACGTATCCAATGCACCCACGCGAATTGCGCGCAGATGTGCGATTGGCTGGATGGCGGCGTCGAAAAGGGGTCCAGACTCTTGGAGACTTGGGATGATGATGCTATGTAGATTGCTCATCTACATGGGCCCTATGACGTCTGCACCATGCGGACCCCACTTCCCAAATAAAGAGCGAGATCTCAAGTCTGGGCGACTTTGGAGAGCGCAAGGTACAGGGAAGGTATCGGTACCTGTCGCCTTTGAATGAGGTACCTCAGAACAGATTCTCCATGGTAATTGGCTGTGGTGAATTTCAACTGCGACGCCCTATTGTGATGGCCTTGCGATGGCCTTGCGATGGCCACAACAACGCTGTCATACACAGTAAAGCGCCTGCTTGCATCCTAGGTAGGTCGAACAGGGACGAGCATGGCCTGTGGTATATACGGAGAACATACCGTTGTGTCTTGAACGGTGTGTGCGTGTTCGCGAGGTGGGTGTCGCGGTCTCTGCCCTGCTATTGCGCAGCCAAGGTGATGGGGGCTTGCCCTGTCAATGCCACCTCCACTGGATCTTGGTCAGCTCGCAGAATAAGTCAAGGTAGAGGAGTATAGGTAGCTGTGCCTGGTTATTGCAAGTCGACTGCTGGATTCGTTAGCCCGCGCTTGCGCTTGTTGTGTCGTGTGTTTCGGACATGGTGTTGTCGAATTGTTCTATGTTGCTTTTTCGAGCCTTGCGATCTGGCAGCATCAAACCTTCTCTTCAAGCCCCTGCTTCCTCGTCTCCCTCTGTGGTTGGGGGGATCCAGAGCTGTGGTTCAGAGGCAGGAGTGAATAAGCGGTACGTGTTCAGTACTTTACCTAGGTGACCTAAGGTACCTTAGGTAGAAAGAAAGAACGAGTTCTCATCCGTGGGAAGGTTGCGCTCTCTGCTTTTGCGCCATAGCTCATCTCTGGAGGGACGCACAACCGAGGGTCTGTCCAATGGGAGACAACAGAAGGACCCCGTCAAAGGAGCGCCCCCATTCTATGACGCGGTTGACGAGACATCAGCCCTGTGGGAATAAGGACTGAGTTTCTTACCGTGCGAGTACCTTCCTTCTGATCATCCTTACCAACAGCTATGCATGCTAACACAGTGTCTACATGTGCAGTGTGTAAATCAGAATCCTCACGTGATGTATGGTGTCTCACACAGGGTTGATGTCAGGGACTCCGCCGAGCTAACCTCAGCGCGCCGATCCCTCCCGTTCTGGACGACACACGACCTCATCAGACATGACACCCTCTTTTCTGTCCTTTCTCTTCCCCCACTGCCACTGCGCGCCATGCCATGCCCTCGTGCTGCCCTTTCCTTCCCACTGCCTCTCTGTCCAGCTTTCAGCACCCGTGTCTTTAGAATTGTTTGGTCGTTGCAACTCGGACGCGTCTCTACGTACTTGTACGGATCCCCGTACTGTGCTTACAAGTACACCGTCAACTTGCCAGGTAGGTCCGTTTTGGCCCAGGGACAGCCGTCGATACTGTGCCTAGTTCCAATGCCATATCCCGCACTCCATACTCCGTACCGCCGCTAGAGAATGCGGTTCCGCACATGTGCTTTGAACACTTCAAATTGTAGAGAGGGCTGAGAACACACTGCCTTGCCGTGCTTGCCTTGCCTTGCCTTGCCTTGCATAGCTCTAGCCATATTGGTTTTTGCAAGCCGTTGCCCAGACAGACCACCATCCCATCGTCTTTCGTGAAAAAGAAGAAGAGGAATCCAATGTGAATGCGATACGCCACTGACCGGAATCCAAACTCTCACAAGCAAATTCTGGCTTACACAACCAGCTTCAGAGTCCGAAATAAAACCAAAAAAAGTATACCTAGAAAAGGGCACCAGAAAAGAGAGAAAGAGGAGAGAATAGCTGCCGCGAGACACACACCACACCTGTTTCTTGCTCCCACACCCAAGTCGGTAGGTATCCCTTCCCTGCCCGCAAGCCAGGGGTGCCCCCCTTCTTCTTCTCTTCTGCTTTCTCGTGCGCGTTCCCATTCCATTCCCTCCTACTCCTCTCCCAAGCAAGACCTGGCTGGACCCTTTTTTTTTTTTTCCTCTCTCTCTCTCTTTCCCGTCTTTCCCCCCTTCCCTTTTCTCCTGGGAATTGTTGTTCCCAATGCTCGCCTTGTCTTTCACACACCCCCAGACCTAGTGTCCGGTGCGCCTTTGATGTAGCTATCTCCCCCCCACTGGCCCATTTGCCCAGTTGCTCGCCTCAGTGCCTGTTTCCTTGGACCTTGCTCGGTCACCCACTTCGTCTTCCGCCGTCGTGTCGTGTCGTGTCGTCCCGCTGGTAAAGTTCCATTGCGCTGCGCTCAACCCGAGGCGTCTTCGTTCTATTATTTCCCATACTACCCATACCGATTCAGAGTATTATACGTGGTCCGTCCGTACGGCACCTTACAAGAGCACACATAGCAGTCACACATTGTCACTGTCTTCGCTCTCTCAATCTCTCTCTACTGGTTCTCGGGACGCCGAACGCCACCACCTTGTCCGGCCCCCGTCAGCTCAGCCCAGCCCATTCTCGACCACACCATCCTGTCTTCTTCGCAGTTGAGAGTAGCTTCAGAGTCAGAATCAGAGTCAGAGTAATAACCATCAGGTGTATCCCCTCTCGCTCTCTGTCTCTCTCTCTCTGCCTCTGCTCTCCCTCATCCTTCGCCCAGGGCATCCATCACCGCTTCAGAAAGTCACAACTCAACCAAGCAAAGGGCCAAGCAACCACCCCCCCAGGTCCATACCAGGTTCAGATCGCCACTTGTGCCGTCACGTCAGAACCCCCCCCGCAACCTTCTTTTCTCTCTAAAAGACCCCCCACTGCCTGTCCCTTTCCCTTTCAAAGAGCCTCTTCCGCACACCCTCCCTCCCTTCCCATTCCCTCCGATCTATCTGAACCCTATCCGACCTTGCCTTAACCGTCCCGCCCAAAAAAACGCCGCCATACCGGAATGGCGCTTTAATTGTTGACCAAGGGCCTTCAACACTTGGCCAGGCGTCCGGAACAATACCTATCCTCCAGAAACATCCGTGGCTCTCTCTCACACATCCCATCCTCTTTACAACTACCTACACCTACACACACACACACACACACACACACACACACACACACACATACACACACTAACCATGCTCGACAAGAGGAGCAACGACGGAGCAACATCCGTCCACTACACCATGAAGACTCATCATTCAGCTTCCAGGCCCTCGCCTGCGCCGCGATCTTCTCATAGCCACTCCCACTCACAGTCCAAACTCGCCGTTCCGCCCGCAAAGACTCCCAACCCTTCTACTCCCGTGGCATCTCCAAGAATGCCCTACTCCGTCGGCCAGTCAATGCCTCCCGGTAACGGGAACCTTACCCCGGCAAGACAGGCAGAGGCGAGAGCCGCGAGTCCAAACTACTTTGGACTCGTTGTCGAGCAGTCCGTCGACCCAAGAGAATCTGCCTCCATGCCACGAGACAACTGGAGCTCCCCGACTTCGTCCGTCCGCTCATTCGGCGCCGCGCTGCCCAAGCAAGTTCCCATCGATGCTAATCCCGACTATGAGGCCTTCAAACGGCAAGCAGACCTCAATCGCGGCGTGAGCTTCAGCCTCTCCTCCTCGCACTTTCCGCAAGCTCCCCCGAACCCGACCACTCTTCGTCCTCGACCGCCACGGTGGAATACGCATGCCAGCGACCACGCCTCGGACTTTTCGATACCTCGAATTCCCACGGAGCGAAAGCAGAGCAAGGAAGTTGACCAGCAAAGCTTGAGCGACTCAGCCTACGCCTCGTTGGATTCCAAGCGAAACTCCGAGGCGTCGATACAACCACCGCAGATCTTAAATTTGAACATGCCAAGATTCGAATCGCCCATGCAATCCGAGTCGCCCTTTGAGCGTAGAACAACATTGTCGAAAGTAGAGGACCGTCACCCCAGGTTATCCATCTCACAGAACAAACCCGATGCGCCAGCGCCGAGTGCTGCTCGAGCCAACCAGCCACGCGCCGAGACCTTGCCACCGACTATGGAGAGCGGCCCCTCGTTGATAGCGCCGTCGCAATTGAAGGATCTAATCGAGGCTGATGGTTCAGAAAGTGATCTGTTGCTTCTGGACCTAAGAGTGTCACAGCAATATGCCCAAGCTCGGATCGAAGGCGCGCTCAATCTCTGCATTCCAACAACGTTGTTAAAGCGAGCTACCTTCAACCTGACGAAACTCCAGCAGACCTTTCAAAGCCCGGATATGCAGGGGCGCTTTTCTCAGTGGAAATCGACGAAGCATCTCGTTGTCTATGATGCTTACTCTGCAGAGAAACGTGACGCCGTTACGTGTATGAACATGGTGAAGAAGTTCACGAATGAGGGATACTCCGGCAACATGTACATCCTGCGGGGTGGGTTCAACGCTTTCGCTGACGCCTATCCCGATCTTGTGGATGAGGGATTCGGTGCTCCAGCGAGCGGCTCCGGTCCAGCAGCATCGGGTGACGGTAGTCGGCCCGGCATCGCCCCCGTCATTGGAGGTGTCATGCTACCAATGACCCAGAACAACGCCAACCCGTTCTTCTCGAATATTCGTCAGAACATGGATCTCGCCGATGGAGTTGGTCAGCTGGATATTGCTCGACCGTCGGGGCTGGAGTCACCTACGCTGCCTAGATGGCTCCGTGATGCCTCTAAGCCTAGCGATCATGGCAAGCAAGTATCAGACAAGTTCCTCAACATTGAAAAGGCTGAGCAGTCGCGGATGAAGGCGGCCTACTCCATGTTCAGTGGTAGTGAGAAGGACAAGACTGTTCCGCAGCTCTGTGGTATCGAGAAGGGTGGCAAAAATCGCTACAAAGACATATTGCCGTTCGAGCACGCTCGGGTCAAATTGCAAGGCCGTTCCGAGGGGGCTTGCGACTACGTCAATGCCAGTCACGTCAAGGCATCTCGGAGCAATAAGAGGTACATCGCTACCCAGGGCCCGCTCCCCGCCACTTTTGAGGTAAGCTATCGGCAAGATTTCCGCGATATGTATATTGGACACTAATAAAAGGAAGGATTTTTGGTCTGTTGTTTGGGAACAAGATATCCGTGTCGTCGTCATGTTGACCGCGGAGTCGGAAGGAGGCCAGCTCAAATGCCACCCGTACTGGCAAGGCAGGGATTTTGGCTCGATCAAGCTCAAGCCGCTATCGGAGAAGAAAGTCTCGTTGGACATTGACAAGCACCGTACCAACCAGGGGTCAAGTGCCCCCTCCGCAGCAGCAGCAGCGGAAGCCGGACGCCGGCGCGCGCAGACGACGACTACACTGGAGGCATCAAACGCAACTGCCTCGCCATCCCCACCACAAGGCGAGACGCCGCATGTTATCATTCGGAAGTTTGCGTTGTCTCACGGCTCACACCCCTTTGCGCCCATCCGTGAGATCACTCACTTGCACTACCCTTCCTGGCCCGACTTTGGAGCGCCTGCGCAGCCGTCACATCTGCTGGCCCTCGTGGACCTAGCCAACGTGATGCAACGTTCAGCTTTGCCGGTCGATACGTCCTCCGTAAGCAGTGCTCGTGCGTCTCCGGAATCAGGCCCTATTGCTTGGTATGACGAGCCAGAGATGGATCAGAGGGCCAGGCCAATGCTGGTGCATTGTTCTGCGGGATGTGGTCGAACCGGAACCTTCTGCACTGTAGACAGCGTCATCGATATGCTGAAGCGGCAACGACTGAACAAGACGACCACGAAGCCCGTGAGGAAGCGGGATTCGGACGGCGATATCAAGATGAGCGGATCAGAGGAGTCTTCGCCTCGGGAGAAGACCTTTGATTTCACTCCGAGCAGCCGTCGCACCAGCGCCGACGTGCGACGGGGCTCTCCAGACAGAACCCCATTAGACACAGCGTGGTTGGCGGACGACAGCGACACTATGGATCTCATCCAGAAGACGGTTGAGGACTTCCGCAACCAACGACTCAGCATGGTGCAAAGCCTGCGTCAATACGTCTTGTGCTACGAGACGATTGTTGAGTACGTATGGCGATGGCACGAGAAGAGCTCAGGTTCTCCTAAGGGAGGAAGAGCACGAAGTGGAAGCTTGCAGCTTAGAGGGGACAACTAATTACGTGGCACGGCTTGCATAGGGAGACGGATGGAAAAACGGAAACGGAACTCGTGGTGAATCGTAATTCGATACCCTCTATTGGATCGCGGAATACGCCAACATCGGCGAGTGATGAGAAGAAAGGCATTGTGCATTTTTCTAATACGGCAAATAAGGCACTATGGAAAGAGAGAGACACACACACTGGGCCAGGACCAGGGCCAGGTCAGGCATGAGGCTAAAGGCGTTTCGGCATTTTAGGGCATATATATTACGATGCATGGCGTTTGGTACTCGACTTTTGTGTCTGACGACGCCAGCATGTTGGGGATCTCGACTGCGGTCGGTCCCTTGGGATTGTACATTAGAGAGGCGTTTGAATGAATGAGAGAAAGAGAGAGAGGAGAGGAGCTGCCGTCTGGCATGCTCTCTCCTCCTTTGACCTCCCAACTTGAGTTTTGATATCTCGTGAAGTGAAGTCGATGTAGTGTAGGAGTGAACCAATACCATATGAAAACACCTCCGCATTTACTGGCGATCCATCTGTCAAATTCCAACACCAACGAGTTGACTGAGTAATCCTCGTGGGTTGGTTTGTTTTAGGATGACGATACTCCACTTCCCTTACCATCTGCCATCCATCTGGTTACACTAGTACCGTACATGCGTTTCTCTGGAGGACGATGAACCACCTAGAAGCAGGCGGGCAAGACGAGGGGTGAATCAATGAAAAAAAAAAAAAAAAAAAAACCGGCCATGATTGACAGTAATTCGGTGGGGCATACTCAACTTCCCCCTCCCCCTCTCTCTATTGGACTTGTGAGTTGTGAGTTGTGAGTATGCAGGCGTGCGTTGGTCGAGGCGAGGTGAGGTCACTTTGTCGGAGACGGAGAACGTGGCATCAAACGCCTACCGGTACCGCCAAAAAGGGAGACGACAGAAGGAAAATGTGATGAACGGTGTAATGTCATGGTGGCTGATTCCATGATTCTATGTAGTCGTACATAATTAGCCGTACAAGCGCCACATGCGCGCGCAAATGGGCGCAGACGCTATTTCCACCGCCGCCTTCTCTCCTGAATCTTCCGCCCTGCCTGCCTGCCTGCCTGTCGACCCCCGCCAGCCGAGTAAACATGTCTTCGTCGATCGTTTGCTGCTCTTTTTCTCCTTCTCCCTCTCGTTGCATACACCCCCCGCCAGCTGCGCATGCACTTACTTCCAGAGCTTGCCGAGTGACACCTCCTTGTCGTCGTGCTTGTTGAGGATCTTGGCGGTGGCGAGCTCAAAGTCCTCTTGGGTGACGTGAACTCTGCGCTCACGCAGGGCGTACATGCCGGCCTCTGTGCAGACACCCTTGAGCTCGGCTCCGGAGCAGCCGTTCATCTTCTCGGCAATCTTTGTGAGGTTGATGCCTCTTGTCAGGTTCATCTTGCGGCTGTGGATGCGGAGAATGTCGGCACGGGCCTCGACACTTGGCGGGGGGAATTCAATCTTTCGGTCGATACGTCCGGGACGCAGCAGGGCGGGGTCGAGGATATCGAGACGGTTGGTGGCCATGATGACCTTGATGTTCTTGGTGGGCTCGAAACCGTCCAGCTGGTTGAGTAGCTCCAACATGGTGCGCTGGACTTCGGAGTCGCCGCCGGATGAGCCCTCGACACGGGAGGAACCGATGGAGTCGATCTCGTCCATGAAGATGATGGAGGGAGCGTGCTCGCGGGCCATGACGAAGAGCTCGCGAACCATGCGACTACCCTCACCAATGTACTTTTGCACCAATTCGGATCCGGACACCCTGATGAACTTGCAGTCGGTGTGATGTGCGACGGCACGGGCGAGCAGCGTCTTTCCCGTACCGGGGGGGCCGTAGAGAAGGACACCCTTTGGTTGTGCGATACCGAGCGACTCGAACAGCTCGGGGTGCTTGAGGCCGAGCTCGATGACCTCCTTGATTTCCTTGATCTGCTGATCCAGACCACCAATCATATCGTACGTGCTGTCGGGAACCTTCTCGACCATCATGAGGGAGACGAGGGGGTCGACGGATGAGGGGAGCATCTTCTCGAGCTTGTAGCTGTCGGAAAGCAGGGTTACCCGCTTGCCGACGGTGAGCTTTGTGATGTCGACATTGTCGGAGATGTCGACGACTGCGAGGGGTTAGTTTGATCTGATGTTGACATGAAGAAGCTGACGATGTCGAGGTGGGAGGGATGCAAGCAAGGACCTGCATGGGATGTATTGCTGGTGGGATTGTGACGTACCGTATTTGCCTTCGGGATGCACCTTGACCAGGACCTTCTTCGTGCTCATGACCTTGACGACCTCACCAACGTAAGAACCAGGCTGCTGCAACAGGCCCAGCTCTTCCCTCAGTAGCCTCACACGGGAGTTGTAGTCGTTTCTTTGGGCTTCGAGGCGGCGGAGGACTGCTTGACCCTTGAGGATCTCGAGTTTCATGGCCTCGATCTTGTTTTGATAGTAGCTGTCGAGCGCCATCGTGATGGATGCCCCGAGGGTTGAGGAAGAAGACGAGTAGTGGTGATGTTGTTGCTTTTGTGATTAACTGTCGTCGGTATAAATTTAATCGTGGACCAGTGAGGGGAAGTCAATCGATCGTCAGGAGCGGGGTCGTGATGGGTTGAATGATTGAGGTTGCCGGGGTCGTTGGTGGTGGTGGTGGTGGGTTGTGTCGTGATGATGGAAGCTTGTCGATGTGGAAGCTCACAGATGGATTGGGAGTGACAGGGCTGGACGTCTGGCTGGGCTGGCTGGCTCCGTCGGTCGGTCAGTCAGCCGCAAGCCGCAGCAGGCAAACGACTGTCGACGCGTTCGACAGTGCCGGAAATCACGTGATGGACATCTTTCCGGAAAAGCTACGATCCACTTTTCCCATTCCAAGCTTGAGCTCGGACGGAATCTGAGAGCAGCTAAACCTTAGGTAAGCCTTCTGTCGGAAGTGCAGATTTGCCGCTCCCCGAATCTTAGGTAATCATGGATCTCATAGATGGCAAGAGTCATGGTCAGTGTGCGATTGTTCTCCAAGGTTGTTGCTGCAAGAGAAGGTGCAATGGAACGCTAAATGCGCCTGCAAGTACTACGGAGTACGGTGACGTTTTCTCTCCCAGATGGGCAAGTGGAGCACAGCACGAGATCAGAGCACATGTCGAGCAACTGGTGAGGGAAGTCGAATCATCATGAAAGGAATTATAGCACAGAGCGTGGGATACATATTCCGAGAGTCCAAGAGGCGGTGATAGCCGTGGAAGCCCGGAACCTATGGGAAGGCTGAGGTGAGGTTGAGTTGGCGGCGAGGATAAGATGGGAAACGACGGACCCCGATGGAAGCCTTGGAAGGGGCATGACATGGGAAGGGAAGGGAACGGGGAGGGGACTGGGACTCGAGGATTCGAGGTTCGCCAGTCGCGGCTGATGGGAGGTTGCACCCTGCGCCAGCGGCGATTCTGAAGCACGCGGGCGCTAGTCTGATTCGGGACAGGTCCATGATCCATGCTCCCATTCCACCGTCCGCTTCTTCGCCGGCTCCAAAGTCGACGCTGAATTCAAGTGTTTGCTGCGCAGTAAACCCCCCCCTTCCGAACCCCAAGTGCCCCCTTTGCTACGTACTACGTACCTACCAGTGATCTCCACTCGGGAACCTAAGGTAATCCTTCCCCAAATTGCGTGCCGCTGCACGATGTGCATGTACTTTTTGGCCTTGGCCCTACCTATCAACCGTCCGCCAAAAGTAAGAAAAGCAGGCCTAGGGTTGCGTGTGCGTGTGTGTGCGTGTGTGGGTGCAAGCCGCAAGCCGCAAATGTAAACACCAACCAAAGGCTACCTACTACAAAACCAGCCATGCCTGTTGACAAGACTGGCAAACGAGGGATCTCCTGTCCATCTTCCCCAGTCTTCTCGAACCTGATGACAAGCACATTGCGGAGGAGAAGCAGCCTCGCAGTGGTCCTCGCTCCCTCTTGCGGAGCCAATAAAAGCATCTTCCATGCTTTTCTTCCATGCTCTTCTGCAAAGAGAGTCGCCATCTGAGGCCATCCAGAACGTACACATGACCGCCAGTTGGAGACTTGGGGTTGCGGCTTGATCAACAGTGGGCAGCGCCTGACTCAGACATTCCATCCCACCTCCACTGTCCACTGCCCAGTGTCTCGTGCCTCTGAGCAGCGGCAGCAGCAAGCTCCTCACCTTAATGAGGTGTGTTGCTCCGTAAAATATGTGTGAATCTGGGGGAGGAGAGACCCAAGCATTCCGCTCCTCTCCTCTACACACACTGTTGTGGACGGAGTAGAGACTAAGGTAGCAGAGAGTAAGTAAGCTAGGTACTTGGGTAGATCCTGGATTCCTGGTGGAACACAATAGGTACCTTAGCTTACCTAGCACCCACCGTTAGCCGGCAAGTAGCTTCCATGGTACGAACTGCTCCTCCACCACCTCCACCACCAGCGACCACCACTACAAACTACCTACCTAGGTAGTAAGTACAGCATCGGTGATTCGGGTCATCCATCGATACTCTGTGCTTCGTACTTCTTACTCGACATCCTTCTACCTAACGTCTACTCCGTACGCACGACAGATAGAAGGCTCCCGTTGTCTGTGTGTCAGTCCGTACCTTTTGCCCAGTAAACATTTTCCGCCGCACGGGAATGGAACAAGACTGCGCTTTTCTTCTCGAACCCAATATAGCCTAATCGTCCCATCATCATTCTCATTCTTGTTCCCCCCGGTCGTCCTTTTCTTTCCATCGTGTGTTTGTGTGTTTTGGTCCCCTTCTACGGGATACCTACTTAGCTTGTTTACACCACACCACCACGGTCACCTATCTCACCTACCTGAGCGCTGCGGTCTACCTCACCACATTTCCCTGGTTCGCTTGTTCGACCTTTTCTCCGATTTCCTCCCTCTCTACGGAGTATTGTTTATAAGCAATAAACCTTCGACTACCAGACTGAGACCCGTCATATATCCATCCAGCCAGGAAGGCGGGCCTCGACACCGACACCGTCACCGACTCCTCGACCCATAGTCGGGCTCTCCGAGTAATCCTCACATCTCTCTCACTGAGCCCGAACCTGAACCTGAACCTGGACCTGGACCTACCTAAACCCAACCGCACCTTGCCTGGCACAGACACTCACAACAATACAACTTTTTTCTTCCCCTTCCCGGTTTCCTCTCCTCATATCGCTTAATCACCAGTTCGCCGTTCCAAGACAGCAAAATATCGAGAGAATTCCAAGCTTCAACCAAAGCAACCCACCGACACTCTCTTCTCCCACCCCCGGGTTGCCGTCTCGTCCCGCGCCTGCGCCTACGCCTGCACTGATAACCCACATCTCCGGCACCTTGCCAATCTCCTCCACCCATCTTGCTCCATCGTCCCCAAACAGCTGCGCGCTCTTTCGTCGCCCTATTCGTTGTCGCCCACCATGGATCCCTCTACAGGGCCGGGCACACCGTCCCATCCATCTCATCAGTCCCACGATAGCTCGACCACCGCATCGCCCACTGATACTCGTCATCAGCCCTCAAGGTTCGACTCTTATGTCGCCTCTCGCGACGAAGGTCTCTCCGAAAGTTTCCAGTCCTTCCAGTCTACCGACACGGTGCGGAGGCGTCCAGAAGGTGGTGGCTACGGTACGTACGACCCGCTGATGTGTTGTTGCATGCCCAGAAACCAAACGAGTCTTGGTCGTCCGAGTTACCCAGTTGCCCAACGCGAAAAACCCCTGGCTGATATCATACCCCCGTGCGCTTGCAGGTTCTATACATACCCAAGGTTCCGGCTCTCAATACCTGGCCGACCCGTCCGCCCACGATCGATCGCATTCACGCTCGACAACAACTGCTAGTGCTAGATCGCCCATGATGGGTCCTGAACGCCCCAAAGCTGCGAAGCCGCGAAAGCCTCCCATGCCCCGTCGCCTGTCAACCAACCCATCAGCACCACACCGCGGCGAAGTCTTTTCTGTCGACGACGACATTGATGAGGTCGAGGCAGATGCCGCCGGCCGTCATCAAAGCCGTCAGGGCAGCACCGCTTTTGGCACCCGCCGCCGGCCTCAACTGGCAACCACGCTATCGCGCGTTCAATCTTCACGCAGTGATACTGGAATCGAGGACGATGACGATAATGATGAAGTCGAGGATGGTCCGCGGACACCCAGAGCTGACGAGGATGCTCCCGAGGAAACCGAGCGCGTTCCTTCGATACACCCCAACGAAGATGACATTGATGCAGAGTCGGATGGCGACGTGAGCGACGCCGAGAGCTTTACGCTCAAGGATCGTCAGCAGGCCATCAACCAGACCCATCCATTCGGTATCAGGTTGTGGAAGCCTGCGTTGTACAAGAAAGATCGTTCGGTGCAGAAGAATGCCGAGGGTGATATTCATTCATCACCTGGCGGAAGAGTTCATACTTGGCTTGTCTTCTTCAACCTTCTCTGGACCTTGTTATTCGGCTGGTGGATGGCAGCTTTCTCAGCTCTCGGCGCTTTGGTCTGTTTCTTGTTTGCCGCAACCCCTAGCGGCAGGGAATACGGCAGAGTTCTTTGGGGCTTGGCTGGCTACCTCTTCTATCCATTCGGCAAATATGTGCGCCTGGAGCAGGATGACGCCTATCTGGATGAGGACCAAGGCGAAGGACGAAGCATTTCCGAGTATGAGCAGTGGCAGAGTGGTGACCTGGAATATGGCCGCCTCTTCTTTGGTCCAGAGGGATCTGAACGCAGCCGATCCATTGTGGGACGGTCGCGCAGGAGCATCGACTCTGAGCCCAGCGAGACTGACAGCCTCTTGGGCCGTTCTCGACGCGGAGAGCGAAGCCAGACACCACCCCAAACCAAGCGCCGTTTGTTTGGAAGAGGCCAGTGGAACATTGGCCGCGTGGTCTTCTTCTTGTTCTTCTACCTTTTGCTCTCACCCTCGCTGATCCTGGTGTCCTTGATCTGCTGGTTCCTTGTCTTCTCGATTCCCATGGGCAAGGTCACGATGCTGCTCTTCGACCAACTGCGCCGCCACCCCTTGGCTCTCTCGTTCGAGTCCGACATCGTTCTCGCCCGGACAGCTGACACGCCGCACTCGTCAATCTTGCTGTGCACATACCGCGCTGTCGGTATCAAGTACTGGAAATACACAATCGACGGCACAAACGTATTTTTGATCAACCTCATGGGTGTCGTCTTCTTCGTCATCTTTGACTATCTCGTTCTCGACCAAGTCCTCGATCTGAAGCTCTTCATCACGTCACCCGCCTTCCTCTTCATTGCCGGCTTATTCTCCATCGTACCGCTCGCTTATTTCATCGGCCAGGCCGTCGCCTCGATCTCGGCACAGTCTTCAATGGGTGTTGGTGCTGCCATCAACGCTTTCTTCTCCACGATTGTTGAGGTGTTCCTCTACTGCGTTGCCCTGAGCCAAGGCAAAGGCCAACTCGTGGAAGGCAGTATCGTGGGAAGTATCTTTGCGGGTATTCTTTTCCTCCCGGGTCTTTCCATGTGTTTTGGTGCCATCAAGCGCAAGACGCAGCGTTTCAATGCCAGGTCTGCCGGTGTCACTTCGACAATGTTGCTTTTCGCCGTCCTCGGCGCCTTTGGACCCACGCTCTTCTACCAAATCTACGGCACTCACGAGCTCAACTGTTTGGACTGTGTCAACCACGGTGGCATCGGGGGAGGTCTGTCTCCTGTTGGGGACGGACGCGACTGCAAGCGATGCTTCTTTTCCCAGACTCCGGCGCTCAATGATCGCTTCTATCTCGAGGCTGTCCGTCCGTTCTGTTACTTTTGCGCCACGTTATTGTTCCTCTCCTACATTGTAGGACTGTGGTTCACGCTGCGAACCCACGCTGCAGTAATTTGGAACTCAGAGATCGACGAGAAGAAGCACGAAGAAGCACACGCCCACGCTCATGCCCATGCTCACGCTAGACAGTCGGGTCCTCACTCATTTGCCGAGACCACTGGTACCTCAGTCGACGTCCGTGACTCTCACCTCTACAAACGCATCCTCGGCCAGTCGCTCAAGCAGGTTGGCCTTGCAAACAAGAAAGATGACAGCTCTCGTCAGGGGTCCGTCACCGGATTGGGCTTGAGTGCTGGCAATGGCAGCGTCAGCATCCCGCACGTCGTGCCTCCGAAATCTAGCGGCAGCGACACGGTCCGCTCTACTGTTCACATTCCTGGATTCTCAGAGGCGGAGAACAACGCATTGGTCCGAGAGGTGGCCGAGATGGCGGCCACTGCGGCCACGATTGCTGCGCGGGAGCGGATGCCTCGCAGGACCTCAGCACTTCCCCCGGGTTCGACTGCGGCTACTTCGCGCCCCCCGGCCCTCCGTACCGCTACCGTTGCCGACAATGAAGATCTCGCAGCAGCAAGCACTGCCCAAGTGCCCCACGGTGGACATGACGCTCCCAACTGGAGCCGAGGCAAGAGTGCCTTCATTCTCATGGGTGCTACTGTACTCTATGCCATTATTGCCGAGATTCTAGTGGACACTGTAGACGTCGTTCTTGAGGGCTTCGCCATTGATGAGAAGTTCTTGGGTATTACTCTTTTCGCGCTGGTCCCCAACACGACCGAGTTTTTGGTAAGTTTGTTCTGCACACCTACGTTATGGCGTTGACTAATGATTCACAGAACGCCATTTCGTTCGCTATGAACGGCAATATTGCGCTCTCCATGGAAATTGGTTCTGCCTATGCGCTTCAAGTCTGTTTGCTTCAGGTTCCGGCTCTTGTCCTATTCTCTGCGATTTACGTCACCTCGGATCGCTTCGAAGACCTCACTGCGCACACCTTTTCGCTCCTGTTCCCCCAGTGGGACATGGTCACTGTCATCATTTGCGTGTTCTTGCTTAGCTACATGTACGGTGAAGGAAAGAGTAACTACTTCAAGGGCAGCATTCTGCTGCTCAGCTACCTTGTAGTCATTGTGGGCTACTACTTTTCAGGGTACACCGAAGACGCCATGAGCGTGAGTCGTTTTGATGTCATGGGCGCCAACGGACAGTACTCGACCATCAAGACTGTTGGCCGGAGAGTGAGCGGCGCTGTTCTGCAGTGATGGAGTTTTGACAAAAAGGATGGGTATAGAGGAGAGGCGGTACCTGAAGAGGGGGAAACATTATTAAAGGGCGGTAGAAGATCAGAGGTTCATGAAGCCCCAGTTTCAACCTGGGGCTTTTGTCAGTTTTTCGTCCTACAGGACATTGCATTATTTTGGTTTTCGCAGGCGGCTATGATGGGACGCTGACGGCGTTACGGAGAAGAGCACATTACCTAGATTACCCTGTCGTTTCATCGCGGATCGCTCGGAATATACATCCCTAATGTTCAAACCCCGAAGTCATGATTCTCGGTTTCCGTGAGACCTCGTCAATGCCTGGATCATCATGTTCCGCCGAATGCTAAGTATCGCCGACTTTGGACCGAGTCTAACGATAGCGTTCCAAACGGCAAATGCTTGTTTTGACATACGACAGGGGTGACCGGACGATCAACGTCATGACTAAGTGGAGTACCAACGGCACAACCAACGGCGACAGTTACGAACCTTGGCTCTTTTGGCTAGACTCTTGTTGTCAACGACTATGCAACCGAGATTCCCGATCTGAAGCCTCGAGTTTGATTGCTATCTCACGTGGGGAAGGAGAGGCCAGGTTACAGGTAACATGGCTCCTGCAACGCTGACATGCCTGCAATGCGGGTTTGTTAGCGTCGGGCCGCGGCAAAGCTTCCGGATGAAAGTAGACGGTTGTTTGATGTCTTCATGACGGCATCAGATTCTGAACGAGAGACTGTTCATTGGCTGGGGTGTATTTACAACGATATTGGATTGGCTTAGAGATGTATGTCATGGTTTCTGGGTGTGAATTTTGCCAGTGTGGGAGATTGACTTCTGGCGTGTTATTGGATGCCTGTCGATGAGTGGCTTTGCATCTTATTAACGACGTCTTCCCGTTTTTTGCGGTCTCAATTTAGAGACCTGAGTAGTGATAATCGGCTTCCTGAAATCGTCTCTCTATTCGTCATACTCACCATGGCTCCTGCTGAACCTCACGCGATCCCTTTCAAGGCAAAGGGTAAGACACCTCACTTTAAGGAAGAGAGGGATGGTTGGAAGGGGTATATTGAGTGGGAGAAGTATCCCGAGAAGAAGAAGCAGGTTGAAGAGCTCATGAGGCAATATGACTTTCCGGAGGTAAGTCAACATGTCGATGCCCCGAGGGTCCATGTGTCAGGAGCACCTGCTGACTGAATCTTCCTATTGCGTGTAATAGCCGCCTCAGTATCAACTGGGACCGCTTCCCGATACGAATCCAATCCTGACGGGGGAGCGATGGAAGCAGTATCACTACGCGTGCGGGCTGGGTCATATTCCCGAGGTCAGCTGGGACATCGTCAAGGAGGAAAAGGCGGAGGATATGATTCACGTTCTTCAATTTCCTTACAACGGCGAACCCCCTCGTGTAAGTCACATCGAAACTTCATATCAAGATTCCCCCCTCCACAGACTGACATGCGAAAAAAACACTGCAGAAACGCCTGGTAGAGACAGAAATCACCTCCAACAAAGACCACTTTGTCCGCAACCACGGCGGCATCCCGGAAATCGACGAGGACAAATACACCCTCGACATCGCCGGCCTCGTCAACAACCCGCAGACGCTCACCCTGCACGACCTGAAAACCAAGTTCAAACACCAAACCAACGTCGTCTCAATCCAGTGCTCCGGCACGCGGCGCATCGAGCAGATCGCGCAGTACCCGGGCGACGGCGACGAGCTCATCAACGCCCCCTGGGGCGAAGGCGCCATCGGCACCGCGCGATGGACGGGCGTATCTCTCAAAAAGGTCATAAAGTACTGCGGCGGGTTGAAGGACAACGCGGCGCACTTGGAGTTTTACGGCGCGGATACGTATTTCAAGAAGGGCAAGGTGTATAACTACGTCGTGAGCGTGCCGTGGCGGAAAGTAAAAGCGAACGAGGTGCTGCTGGCGTGGGAGATGAATGGAGCGCCGCTGCCCAAGATCCACGGGTTTCCGTTGCGGACGGTGGTGTTTGGGTACATCGGGGCGCGGAGCACAAAGTGGTTGACGCAGATCCGGGCCATCGCGAGCGAGAGCAGTGCGCCGGTGCAGAGGCGAGAGTATATCTACTACACGCCGCAGGTGGGGAAGCAGAATGTAAAGTACAGCAACGGGTTCTCGATCCAGGAGATGCCGGTGAGCTCTGCGATTATGACGCCGCGGGATATGGAGCAGGTCGTTCACGAGGGGAAGGTGAGGTTGAGGGGGTGGGCGTATTCCGGGGGCGGGCATTGGCCTGTGAGGGTCGAGGTCAGTGGTGATGGGGGCGGGGTGTGGTATGAGGTCCCGTGGGAGAAGATGAGCGGCAAGTATTTCCATGCGTGGCGGTTGTGGGAGATTGAGTTGCCTGTTGACGCCGAGGGGTGGTTGGAGTTTTGTGTGAGGACGTGGGATAATGCGTGTAATACGCAGCCTACTTTTGTGAGGTCTGCTTGGTATGTCTTTTACCCCCCCTTTTCCCTTGTCTTTCTGCCCTTCATCTTTACAATTCTTTGGATACGATTTTTATAAAATCTCTTTCCGGTTTTGTGGGCAGAGGAGGGCGACGATGATCTAGAGACTGATGATGAGACTACACAGGAACTGGGACTTGCACGTCACGTCGTCGGCGCACCGCATCAAGGTGTACAGCATCAACAAGTCGAGACCCGCGACGGCGGCGAGGCTGAAGAAGCTGGAGGAGAATGGGATTCCCATTGTGCCGATTACGCTGCCTGCCGAGATTGACTTCGAGTCGGATGAGGAGTATGAGAGGAACATGGCGGCGCAGGGCGGGCGGGATCCGACGGAGTAAAGGGAACTTGGGTCGAGTAGAATATATCAGAGGTTTGACTGAGGAGAGGAAATATTGAGCGAGGCAACGAACCGGCTTGTTGTGTTTTGTTTTCGTGGTGATGGGGAGCCTGAAGTGATGTTATTGTAGTTCTCAGCCAAGACGCTCATATTGCAGGGTATTGAGTCTTGTATGTTGAAGTTCTATCATGTTAACTTTACAAAAAAGACTACACGCGTGATGTTATTCAGTAGTATGCGACCAAGTGCTACTGTTGCTCAAATATTCTGCTATTATATCAAGTTTGAAGTCTATGCTGGCGGCAAAAGCCTTGAGTCTGTCCTATGCCACCAAGTCCAGCTCCTAAGAAGATCATTGTGCAGATTATCATGCAGAGCCATCGAGCTTCTTACATGAGCAGACTTCTATTTCCTTTACTCCGTGTTTAGTTCTTACTCCTTGGCTTTGTGATTCTGCCTAAATGGGTCTTCTGCACAGGAGGTCGGCCATGAGGCCACATCTGAGGGGTCATTGTGGTAGTCAGACCACTTCCATTGCATCTATACACCGCCTCTTGATGATTGATGTAGCTTCCATCCTCGTTTAAAATGGTACGGCATGCCAGCCACAGCTTTCCTGTAATCGGTCACCCACTCCTCCCGGGCCTTTTACTTCACATCGAACAATAACCATCAAGTTCAGTCACGCAGTAACATCATCATGTCTTGTTTCACAACGTAGTCTACTTATTCTTCATCCTAACCAGACTACTTACTTCTTGATGATACTAAAAAGCAAAAGAGTTCACCCCCCCGGTGGCGAACGGGGGCTACATCTCTGGCGCACATGCTGGGACTCGAACACGGGACTTCTTCACCTTCACCGATTAGGCTGTTCGTGGACTTCAACCCCTCCACCACCCAGCCAGTTTTGACCTGACCCCCAAGGGGGCGCCTGCTGGCTGGTGACAGGGATGAACTCGAGGGGGGGTATAACGGGTTCTTACGGAAGGTACAGGAAGGTATGACCTTGTGGAAGGTATGACCGATGTCAAGATATCTTCACATCCAAGTAGGTAAACAGAGACACGCAAACGCCATATTCTGCCGGTCGTGAAGTAGGCAATGTCTCAACCGACTGGCTCCTTTTTCTTTCAAAGTTTCCTCCAACCTGAACTCAAAGACCCATCCAGTTACCGTTTACACTTCCGCCCATACCTTCAAAGCCCGGCACGTATCCGTTCCCAAACATGGCCGAGAACTCGTCGAGCGCAGGCGGCATAGGCGACAAGCTCCCATCGAGTCCGAAGAACGGCATGGCCGGCGGCAACGACGCCGTACCCTGCCTCCCCGCGCCGGCAGGAACATGTCCTCCTCCGCCACCAGAGTGCCCGTGTCCTCCACCCCGCCATATGCCCGCAGGATGCGGCGGGATCGGCAGCCCCGCGGCATCAAGTCCATCCCTCTCGCTCCTCGCATCACCATTTCCCTGCCCGTGCCCTTGCGCAGGCGTATCCGTCTTCCACAACATCTCCCACTTTTTGAACCTCGCGTAGTCAGACTCCTTGACTCCGGACGCGCCGCCGTTAGCCCCAGCCCCGCCACCGTTACTCTCGTCCGCCATATCCAGCCTCGAAATGGCGCGCTCAAAGGCCTCGATGAGGGACATTTCCGATTTCGCAGACTCTCCGCCCGCCGACATCTCCCTCAGCATCGCCATGCCTTCTCTGAGAGCGTCGCGGAGGCGGTCCGTCTTCTTCTGGAGGCACTGAGTGATGATGACGAGCAGCGCAGCGCGGCACGAGGAGAATTCCGTGTACGAGGCGCGGGCGAGGCCTACCGTGTTGCGAAGGAGGCGGCAGGTTTCTACGACGAGGAGGGCGGCGTCGACACAGTCTGCTACGAGGACGGCGCGCGGGTGTGTTGTTTTGCCGGTTGAGCTGCTCGTCGTGGCGCGGCCGGCACCGGCACCACCGGAGGAAGGGCCGCCGCCGCCTGCGACTACGGTGACGGCGACGGAGTCTGCGGGGGATCCGGAGGAGCTTGCTGTGCTGCCGCGGTGGGCCGATTCGCGGGGGAAGATGAAGGGGCGGCCGGCGAACATGCGGACGAGGCAGTATTCTAGCCTCAGGTGCATTGTCGGACGGAAGACGGCGGGGCCGGTGGTCGGGTCCTTGATGAAGGTTGGTTCTGGGAGGCTGTTCCACCAGTTGTGGAGTTGGGCTTTCATCTCGACGAGCTTGGCCATGCCTTCTGGGATTTCGTTCTTTTCAAACGTTTTGAAGAGGGATCTTATGGGTTGATGTTAGCGCGAGGAAATAAGAGGGTTTGGTATAGGGGATGACCTACATTTGGTGAGCTATTCTGCTGAGGGCGTTGTTGAGCTGGAGTGTGGCTAGCATGTGTGCCGTATTTGGCGGTGCTGAACCGGGCCATATTTCTGGTCTGTCGACTGGGAGCTCGGCGTCGACGTCGCTTGCTGCGATGGATACTGGCCGACCGTGGAATATACCGATACGCCTAGGAGATGAAGTCAACATGTGAGAAGGAATAAGTGACTCAGGACAAAAGCATGCTCACTTTTCCGTTGTGTAGGCCGTCCACCAGACACGGTTCCTCGTCTCCCGGATGACAGGATCGATGGCGGCCCCGGGGTGCTTCCGATGCATACCATTCTGGATTGCGAGCTTGACCGCCAGGTTCAAGTACACGTACGACAGCCCCGAGGCGTCGAGGGGTAACGTATAGAGGCCGATGAGCAGACACGCCTGAACGCTCTCCAGCGACGAAATGGTAATCACGTCGGGGACCAGCCGGCACGCCTGCTGGTAAAACATGATGCCGATGGTGTCCTCCGAAAAGGGGCTCGAGTCGGCGGCGGCGCTGGGCGGGCCGCCCCTCTCGTTCCGGGAGTCGAGGTAGGCGTACTGTGTGCCGATGGCGAAGATGATGAGGATCATGCAGACGGTGCCGACGTCGCGGCGCGTCAGGGAGGCCGAGTTCTCGTAGACGAGGTCGAGCCTGTCCATGAGCCAGTGGCGCTCGACGTAGAAGCAGCTCGTCTCGGCATGGTTGAAGAAGGCCTGGACGAGGAAGTCTGCGACGTAGCGGGGCGGGAGGGAGGAGAGGGAGGCTACTGTGTTGGAGGGGGACTGGAGTTCTTCTGGGCGGTAGTATTCTTTGAATTGTGTCTTTGGACCATCCGGGGCGTCCTATGAGGATGTTTCAGCGATGCTGGCTTGGTATAGGCTCTGTGACAAGAGGGGGCATGCTTACGTTTACACACTGTTCAATCCATTGCTTTATCCGCATGGAGAAGTTCCAGTGTGAGAACTCGCCGGAGTAATCTGCTCGGAGGTCAACATGGCGGTCTACAGGGAGAGGTCCTTCGGGATGCCAAGGCCGAGACTGTTGAGGGTCCGGGGAAGCGGTCCCGGGGGAAGAGGGAAGGGTAGAGCAGGGAAGGGAAGGGGAGAAGGAGAAGGGATAGGGCCCGCCTTACGTGTGATGTTGTTCTCCAGAGGCTGAACCGTTATCTCGTCAACCTTGAAAGAGTCGGAGCTATGCGATTGCACCTCTGCCTCGGCGCCGACGTCCGGCTCCATGGTGACATCCGCTCCACCAGCAGCACCAGGACCACCGCCGGCCCCGGTCACCGTGCCCTCCGGGCCGGTGCGCGGTCGTCCAGCAGGCGACTTCATCTTCTCCACGGACTCGGCCAAGGTCTTTAGAGTCTCGGCGTCGAGGGTGCTCTTGCCGGTGTAATGCGCCAGGAGCCGTTCCATGTAGGACATTCTCTGGCTCAACTGGGCGTCTTCATGATGTTGCGAGTGGCGGGGTCTATTATGATTATACCCGCCAATATGGCCCTTTTGTCAGCCAGCTGTTTTACATTGGTGCAAAGAACCCAAGGGAAAGAAAAGCATGAGATATCGCGTTGAGGAATCTTATAACAGTACTACGATTGGGAAAGGACATGGTTAAAGAGGAATAAGAGGTCTATAGGTTCTCACCTCGCTGAGTTCTCCGATCCGGGCTCATCTCTCGTCGTGGGCGTGAGGAACTCGCATTGCCGGCGCAGACGGGTGCACCGGCGGCAAGGGACTCCTCCGTCGCATTTTTCCTTGAGTCGCCGACATCCGTCACAGCTTGGTCGCGTCAGCATGAGGGAGGTTCTCTCACATCAATTGGACCGGGTATCTAGTAATGAAAAGGAGACTGGACATGAAACGTGGGAGGGAAAAACAAAACAAAAGAAATGGGCTTCATCGTACGCTCGAACTGCTCTCTTCCGCTCCTTATCCGCTACGCGACGCTGCTTGTGTCGTTGCAGGCGCAGGCCGTCCTCGGGATCCATTTACAACTTGTTCTTGGAGTCGCAATAGCCGATAAGGGCACTGTAGTAGATAGTGAGAGAGGGCGGCGGCAGCGGACAGTGCCGATCAACAGGGCCAGGCGAGGACCCGGGCCGGTGGTGGAGGACTCTCTCTGCGTGTGTCTGTCTCTATGTCTCTCTGACTTGGTCTTCTTTGTGTGTAGGGAGGTTCGTTTAGAACTCTCCGCGGAAAGTGATTCCCAAGTGACCCCGCCGTAACGAAGGAAGCCCGTGGTCAGAAAGGAAGGTCTGGTCCTGTGTCTCAATGCCCTTGCCAATTCCTCGGGAGTGAGAGTGGGCAAGGTATGCGGGTGGATAAAGGAACGAGTGAGTGAGTGAATGAGAGTGGTTGTTCCGAGTTTGTGTGTGAGGGGAGCTAAGATAGGCCTGCCGGTGCTGGTGCTGACTCTCTGGCTGAGTCTACTAACCTTAGTCCTCCACCGCCGCGCGCCCCCATTTCCCAGAAGGGGAGGGGGTCGGGGAGGCAGAATTTCGGCGAAACCTCCAGCGCCGCGGTCGGCGGGGGGTCGGAGGGGAACGGACCCGCTGTTTTTTCGCGACCAAGACGCGGGGAAGCCGGCTATATCCCGGTCGGAGCCGAAGTATTGCATGAAGCACGAACCCCAGGAACCCAGTTTCTGGAGTCGGCTTGACTCATGGTGCGGCATCTGCCTGTGTTCTAGACTCGTTTACCTCAGAAGACTCCAATTCAAGTTGTAGGTAGACAGTCGATGTTGAGTGATGCATCTGATGACAGATGAAAGCTCTTGTGGAGGGGAAAAGCAAGGAAAAAGAGTGTTCTCGAGGATTTGAGATTAACTCAGGTATCATACAGAGTAGACCAGTCTCTTGTTGACTTGTCATCATATTAGTTAGAATCGTAGCCTGTATCCCCTTCAAAGCTTCGCCTTCACGTCATCCTCCCACAAAGACTTGAGCCCGTCCTCAAGCGGACTATCTTTCCTCTCGATCCTCGCCCTCGACGTCTCCATGATCCTCGGCAGCCCGGTGCTCTCGAACGAAGCCCCATCGCGAATCATGGCCGCCACGCCCTTACTGGAAAGCAGAATCTCCGGCATGCCGTGACCAGAAAACCCAGCAATGATGAACTGCCCCGGCTTCCCAGGCACACCACCCAGATGCGGCATGAAATCGGAACTGTACCCCATGATACCCGTCCACACCCTCTCCGTCGTCGCGCCGCTCTCCTCCCACCCGCGAAAGTGCCTCTGCATGTACCCGTCAAAGTACGGCGCCGCGCCCTTCACCAGCTCGTCGTCCCGGACGTTGTCGAACCACTCGCCCCGCTTGTGCCAAAACATTTGACGCGCGCCGCCGACGACGATGCTCCCGTCCGCCCGCGGGATGAGGTAGTCGTTGTTGCGCGCGTCGAAGCGGATGCCGTACGTGTTGACTAGGTGCGGGCTGTTGGGGCCGCCAGGGGTCGTGATGCGGCTGCAGAGGCCGCGGACGGGGACGATGCGGTCTTCGTATTGCGGGAGGACTTGGGCCGTGTAACCGTTTGTGGCTACGACGACTTTGCCGGCGCTGATGGCGCCGCGCGGGGTCTGGTTGTGATGAGATTGATGTTACTGGCGTGTTGGCTTGCAGGTTCAGCCCCTTTTGGAGGAGACGGTCTAGGAGCTGGTGGACCATTTTGGCTGGCCATAAGTGTGCTGCTGTGAATGAGAAGGCGCATTGAGCACCCTTGACTCCTGAGACCTGTGTTTGGATGATTAGTCTAGATCTCTCGTCATCGATGTTATGGGGAAATAGACTTACCCTTTCAGCATCCTTCTTTGGAGTGAAAGCAACATCCTTCATATTCACAACCCCGGCCTTCACCAATTCCCGATACGCAGCCTCAGTCTCCTTGGCATGCTCCGGATCAAGATACACATCAATCGCCCGCGTCAGATGAAAATCGCAATCCAAGCCCTCACTCTCCACAAGCTCCTTGACGGCATACACATTCGAGGCCTCAAACGCGGCCAACTTGGCCGCCTGCTCGGGACCAAAGAGCTTGGTGTACTTTGGCACCTGGAAATACGTGTCGGGCTTGACGTGCCCGCCGTTGCGACCCGAGGCGCCGGAACACACCTTCCTGGCCTCGAGGATGATGATGGACGGCGGGGACGGGTTGTCCTTGAGGATGTGGTAGGCCGTGGCGACGCCCGCGAAGCCGGCGCCGACGATGACAATGTCGCACGCGGCGGGGAGGTCCGGGGTTGTGCGGTGGTCGTCGAGGGGCCGGGGGGCGGCGTTCCAAAAGGAGGGGACGGGGTTAGGGACCGGGGTCCGGTTTGTCGGCTTTGGTACGGGCATGATTTTTGGGATGTGACTGGATAGGAGGTGGGCTTGGCAGACTTCTTTCGGACTTCTTTTCTTCACAAAGGAGGGGCAAAGGTTTACTAGGCAGGCGAGAAGTAAGGCTTGAGCTGATAAGCAATATGTGTGGACTTTCTATATACCAAAGTTGGGGAAGACAAGCGCTTCTTTGGGCTGGTACTACTATCAATGTACGAACCGGCATGTTTTGATCAGCCAGCGTGCCGTTGAAGTTCAAACGAGACTGATAAGAAGCATCGGAGGTCGGAAAACTGGGATAAGATACATCGGGCATGGGACCCATACCCACCGATATCTCTGTAGTTCCAGCTCCGGATCACGGGTCGATGCTAGTGCTTGTTGGGGGGCTTTGTAACGGAAAACACGGCGAGTGTCCGAGACCGGAGGCCGAACCGGCGGCGGGGGAGTACGGGACCGGCAATTTGCCGGGTCCTCTCTTTTTCTCTCCGAGGTGTGATAAGCAAATGACAGGCGCCCAGTGACATTTGATGCAAGATATCCACAGCGAATCAGCTTCAACCAACAATCCGAGAACGATATCTTCTTCATGGTAGAAAATAATGCATGAAGATTGGTCATTTAGTTCATTATTAAGGGGATTTACCGATTAGAGTGCGAGACCGAGGACCAAACACCCCGTGATCTTTCCCCCCATCAAACGGATAAGGATCCCACCTCTCATCACGCCGTTTACGCCGCGGCCGCCCCCTCCGAGGCGGCTATGATCTTCCGCGCCATCTCCGGCAGCTCGGTCGCCATGACATCCATCTCCCCAAACAAATCCGTACACGGCTCCCCCTCGTACACGGCGCACCACGCCCCCTTGAACCCGCACCCTTTAGCCGCCGACGCATCCCACATGTGCGCCGCCGCGAACCACGCCTCTTCCCCGCCAAAGCTCTCCAGCACGGGCTTGTACGCCCTGGGGTCCGGCTTGCCGATGCCGTCCGCGTCGCAGCTCTTGAGGTTCTCCGCGGGCATGTCGATGCCCGCCTTGGCAAAGTACCCGCCCACGCGCTTCGCGTCGCCCGCCGTGAAGGCCCAGACTGTGAAGCCGGCTTCTCGCAGCAGCGTGAAGCACTCCTTTGTGCCGGGCCGGGCCTCGAGCTCGAGGAAGCGGTCCATGATGTAGGCTACGTCGTCGTCGGTGGCGAGTTTGCGCGGTTCCGGGACGCCGGCCTGGAAGAGCATGCGGTAGAAGAGGCTGCGGAAGATGTCGTAGAAGCGGCGGTAGCGGCCTTGGATGGAGAGGTAGGTGTACTCGCGCTCGGCGGCCTCGATCCAGGCGAAGCTGAGGAGGGCGGGCTTGATGTTGTGTTCTGCGAGTTTGGGGCCGAGACGGGTCTCGATGGCGCGGGGGATGGCGTCGTAGGACATGCAGGTGCCTACGATGTCGAAGACGACGTGTTTCCTTGGTGATGACATGTTTGTATGTGTGTGTGAGTGTATTTGAGTGTGGTAAAGGAGTGTTCACAAAGTGAGATTGATTAAGTGTGTGACGAACTTCTTCTTGGGTAAGGTGAGTTCGTGTGATTGTGAAATTGGTCTTGAAGGTTTATATGAGACCATCACGAACTTTCCAGCCATTGAAAATAGACCATTAACAAGCAAAAAAGGCTATAGATAGCCTCATCACCGGTGCGCACTATCGCCCTATCTCGGCGCCTGGGTCCGCGGGGATGAGCGGGGTATGGTGTACTACCGTATGTGACTTGCCGCGACGATCCCTGTTACCCCAGCCGGCTGCTTTGGCGGATCCGACGACCCGGTTGCGTATCACTCGACGGGGCGACCTGTCCCGAGAGGGTGATGCCCCGAAAATAGAGACCGCAGGCACTTTCCGGTTCTTGCATGATAAGCTACCGGCCGCCGGCCGCGCTATCCGTTGGTTCCGCCCGGTAGTCAGTATCCCCCTCCGACTCAGATTGTGTGGTGCGGTGGTTCGTTTAGCCGACTGGCCGTCTATCGGACAAAGATCGTGGGGAGGGGGTCCTGAATGGGTACACTGAAAATGTGTGTTTTACTAGTCGATGAGGATTGCGACTCAAATGTCGTTGGAAGCTTGATCTAAGAAAGTTTTGTCATGTTATCCGAGTCAGCCATATATACCAAGATGAAGGTCGAAACTATTGGTGATGGCTTTGACTTGACGACTGTTTGCCAATAAAAAGACATGTGCCAGTCACTGGGGGTATCAAATCGTGTTCCCTCGTTTCGTTTGAAAGTTCACTATGATAAGGTTGAGGAGATATGTTACGTTTTCAAGGCCATCATAGGTTCTGTCATTATGGTATCAAAAAGAAAAAGAGCTCTCTAAACTGTGATCCCCATCTTGGGTCTACCGTCGGAGCTGTAAATCCATGCTATGCTAAATCCGCCAAATTTTTGATTTCTTTTCCCGTCCATGCCATGCTTTCGTGATAAAATGTTGTTTACAATGAAGAAAATGTCTTCTCAAATGCAGAGATCAAAATGGGCACTGTAGAGATGTATGTTAGACTCCTGGTCGTACAAGATAAGGTGAGTTTTCCTCCAAGAGACTTACCATGTGCCTCCTCAAAGATGAGCATGGGGCGGAGACGGATAGTCTCCTTGCCACATGCGCCAATGTTGACGCCGAGACGCTTCATCGAGCCCGTGACGGCCGCCGCGCTCTGGGTGTCGAAGGCGACGTAGGTGCCCTGGCCCTTGCCGCGGAGGTTCATGACGTGGTCGGGGTACTTTTGGGCGAGCTTCTCCATCTCGGCGTAGAGGACTTCTCCGACGCGAGCCTGTAACACGTATTAGTTTGCAAGTCATGATGCGTCTGGAATGGGTCACGTACGGTCTGCTCCACGAGCTTCTTCTCGCGGATCTCGTCAATGACTGCCTTGCAGACGATGACGCGGGCGGCATCACCCATCCAGCTACGGGTTCGTTAGCGGGATTCAGATGAAAGACAACGGTGACTGGGACGACATACGTGTTGAACTGGCGGTAGGCCTTGTCGGGGACCAGCATGCGGTCGCCAAAGTAGTAGCCGGCAGTCTGGGCCTTCTTGGAGAATGTGACGATGTCGGGAGGGGAGGTGAGGTTCCAGTGAGCATGGCCCCAGAACTTGCCCGTAGCGCCGAAGCCTAATCATCATATAAGTACAAATGCATAAGTACCCAGGTCAGAGAGACACTCACCAGTCTGGACCTCATCAACAATCATGACAACAGCATGCTTCTGCGTAATGTCGCGCAGGCCTTGGAAGAAGGCAGGGGAAGCGTGGTTATCACCGCCCTCGGACTGGATAGGCTCAACGATAACAGCAGCAACGGGGCAGTGCCAGCTCTGGATCAGCTCCTCCACCTCCTTCAGGCAGCGCTTCTCCTCGGCCTCGTTCTCGGCCGCGTACTTGTCCAGGGGGTACTTGAGAGCGGGGAACGAAGCCTGGGGCCAGTTGAACGAGGGGATATCGAGCTTGTGCACGGCCTTGCTGCGCGTGGTGGACAAGCTGCCGAAGCCGCGTCCGTGGAAGGAGTTCTTGAAGCTCATGATGGCCAGCTCGGGGGAACCGGGGGTGGTGTTGTGCAGGCACGAGTGGATCTCCTCGTGGGACCACTCGGCCTCGCCGCGCTCGCGGCGGCGGTAGAGCATGAAGGCGGCCTTGTAGGCCAGCTCGTTGGCCTCGGAGCCGGACTGGGCGGTGAAGATGTGGTTGAGTCCCTCCGGGGCGGCCTTCATGAGGCCGTTCTGGAGGAGGTCGTGCCAGGCGCCCGAGGGAAAGTTGCCGATGGCGGGTCTGTTGACGAGGGCGGAGATCATCTCGGGGGACTTGGCGGCCTCGATGAGGGTGGGGTTGTTGTAGCCTACCGGGATGGAGGCGATCTGGGAGTAGCTGTTTTGAGAACGGGGGAGATTAGCGAGATGCGGGTCGAAGGGTGTGCCGGGTGAGGTGATCGGCGGCTGCGGCTCCGGGGATATCAGACTTACACATCGAGGTACTTGTTGCCGTCAACGTCGACAATGCTGCAAAGAAGGGTCGTTAGCTCGAGTTCCATCAATACGGCCATTGGTTGCTGCGTACTAGTTTCCGGAGCTCTTGTCGTAGTCGACGACGAAGTGAACGGCGCGGGCGTCAAAGAAAGTGTCGAGCTTCTTTGCGCTGGCCTTGGAGATAGGTCCAGGGACCTCCGTGGTAACCGAGTGCTCGATGACGGCGGGCATCTTGAAGTTCTGGTCTTGATCTGAGCAACTGAGCTGTGGTGATCTTGTAAACGAGTCTTGGAGAAGGTGCGATATAGTGTAAGGTGTATGTATATCTGTTTTTCTTAAGAGACTCTTGAAGCTTGCTTGATACAAAAACTCATCGTCAACTGCTGGGAGATCGAGTATTTATCGTCCGTGGTGACGCCCGAAAGCTTCCGTTCGCCCCTTCTACGTGTGAGAGCCGGGCACGAGCCGGCCGGTCCCGAACCGGCGCCCCATCCGGGCCCAGGCCAAGGCGTAAGAGTGAACCCCGCCAAATCTCCATTGAATCTAGCATGACCCATCCTTAAAAACCCGATTGCGGCTCATGTCAAACACATTGTGCATTGAGGCGTTTTGGGGCGAAAGTTTTAGTGTACAGAATTGGTCTATTTTCTTGCCATTTTCAGCGGGTTCAAATCACAAGATGTGTCAAACCCCCCTCCGAGTGCCCCACCCCGGGCCCGGGCCGGTCCCACTCAAAAACCACAATTGTCGTTCCCACACCGGTATCAGACAGGCGACAACGATATCGCACTGCCGCCAACTTTGACGCCATCGTGAAAGGGTTCATATAAACAGTCGACCGCATGAGGCTGTCCGGCTTACCGCGGTAGTTCTGTAGTCATCAGACCACTTTTCTGCAGGAACCAAGATCGAGGTGCATTACTTTTACTCACAATGGCATCAGCACATCAAGTAAGTGGGGTCCTCCCGTTAGAGGATATGAGCCTCTCAGTGAATGTCATTCGTTTACTAAACTATTGTGATGTTACAGTTGAAAGATGCTTCTCTTCTGAAGACATCATGCTACGTCAACGGGCAATGGGTTGGCGCCAAATCTGAGAAAGTATTCTCAGTCGAGAGTGAGTAGTACACCACCACATCAACTCGGGAGGAGCAGCCAAGCTGACACTCTCACCAGACCCTTCAACCCTCACCGAGGTAGCAAAGTGTCCCGAGTTCGACGAGGCCGACACCGAAGCATCCATCCTCGCCGCCCACGATGCCTTCAAGTCCTTCCGCAAGACCTCTGCACGCGCCAGAGCGCGCCTCCTTCGGAAATGGTTCGACCTCATGATGGAAAACGCCGACGACCTCGCCAAGATCATCACCCTAGAGAACGGCAAGCCTCTGGCCGACGCAAAGACGGAAGTCGGCTACGCCGCCTCCTTCTTCGAGTGGTTCTCCGAGGAGGCGCCCCGGATCTACGGCGACACCATCCAGGCGAGCAACCCGAGCTGCCGCCTCGTCACTCTCAAGGAGCCTATCGGCGTCTGCGGCCTCATCGCGCCGTGGAACTTCCCCGCTGCAATGATCACGCGCAAGGTCGGGCCCGCGCTGGCGGCCGGGTGTACCGTCGTCGTCAAGGCACCGGCCGAGGCGCCCCTGACGGCGCTGGCGCTCGCCGAGCTCGCTCACCGCGCGGGTATCCCCGCGGGCGTGGTGAATATCATCACGGCCCTGGATAATACCGTCTCCGTGGGAAAAGTGTTGACGACGCACCCGATCATCAAGAAAGTGTCCTTCACAGGCTCGACGGGCGTCGGAAAGCTGCTGATGAACCAATGCTCCTCGACACTCAAGAAGCTGTCCTTTGAGCTCGGCGGCAACGCCCCCTTCATCGTCTTCGAAGACGCCGATCTGGACGCCGCGCTCAAGGGCCTCATCGCTTCCAAGTTCAGAATCTCGGGCCAGACGTGCGTGTGCGCCAACCGGATCCTGGTCCACAGCAGCGTGTACGACAAGTTCTCGCAGATGGTCGTGGACGCCATCAAGAGCTTTACCGTCGGCGACGGGTTCGCCGAGACGACGACGCACGGCCCGCTCATCCACAACCGCGCCGTCGCCAAGGTCGACGAGCACGTCAAGGATGCCGTCGCCAAGGGCGCGCGGGTGCTTCTCGGCGGCAAGCCCCTGACCGAGCTGGGGTCCAACTACTTTGACCTCACCGTGCTGGCGGACATGAAGCCCGGCATGAAGATTTGCTCCGAGGAGACGTTTGGCCCCGTGGCGGCGTTGTTTGCGTTTGATACCGAGGAGCAGGCTGTCGAGCTTGCTAACGATGCGGACGTTGGTCTTGCTGGGTACTTCTTCAGCAAGGACGTGTCGCGATGCTGGCGTGTGGCGGAGGCGCTTGAGGTTGGCATGGTTGGCGTAAACATCGGTAAGTTGTCCAGTTGTGAGAGTATTTGATGTCAGGCTTTTGCTAACGAGCTGCTTCTAGGAGCCATCAGTGATCCCGCCGCGCCCTTTGGTGGCGTGAAGCAGAGCGGATTTGGCCGCGAAGGAAGCAAGTACGGCATTGACGAGTTTTTGGTCACCAAGATGGTTATGACTGGCATTGAATAACGCCGCTTTTCCTATCATGATTTATTTTCTTTCTTAGACTATACCCTACCAAGTATCTTAGATGATAGAATAGTTTACTCTTCCACGAAAAATGGCCCTTTACTTAAGACCACTGCCATTGGTATCCCCTGGCCCCGCCGGGAGTGTGAGTGATAGAGATAGAAGCGAGATATTGAGAGGAACTAAGGTAGTTTGTCACCCACCTGCCTAACTTCTTTAGTAGGCAGTCAAGCGTAGCTTACTCACAATGCTCTTAGTGTCATTATTTGATAGGAATCGTAGTTCAAAGCCATCACTTTTGAAAGCCAATAGGCTATCACGGTTGGAATGGTCGTCAGCAAGATGAAAAAGAAAAAGGCAATTTCAGACCACAAACCTTACCATGAGTGCAACCAGCTAGACCATTAAGGTGTAATTCACCCTTCCATGTAGAGAACACGCTTCTTTTTGGCTCTGGGAATATAATGACATGAAGGTCATGACCCATATTCCAAGTAGGCTCCGTGGCTCCAATCCACTAATCTAAGGTTGTGTATTGCAGGTTTATACTGACTTCCATCAGGCACCAAAAGGTACTCCCTTCCCTTTGAGATTCGCCCAGTCAAGCCACTAGGGGACCTTGGTCTTCCTATCATTTTAGTCTAGTAGTCCAAAGATGGGCACCTGCTGGACGATAAAGGGGCATGAAGAGATTTTCCTACAGGTGAATCTCTATTATCCTGAAAGAACACAAAGAAAAGGTAGATCATTCATTCATTGTCCAGTTGGGTACCTTCTGCCTGAATGTGTGCCTTTTTGGCAAAACCCTCACCGAGCGACCTGTCACCCTCCCTTTGTGCCGACCTGGAGCCTCAGGCGGGAGACAACCTGAAATATCTTCACTGTAAAGAGGTCATTTTATCCATCTCAAAGTGGAGTCAGGTGACTTCTAGGCAGTACGGGAGGCAAAGTAATGGACTGAAAGCCTTTCACATTCCCGTCCATTTGAAAACCTTCTTCTAGCACCTTGGAGGCTGTAGGCAGATATTCTTTCTCCCTTCAGAAAAAAAACATCCTGCCTATTAATACTCGACCGGAACACCTCTTCTTTTGGACCGATTTGCGCCACGTAAATTCTACTTCTTCTCAAATCGCGCGCCTCTTTCGGAAGATCACGCACAATTCGGTCTACTATCAATTGACTCAACGGTCTCATCGCATGCGTGGTATCTGCATACAACTCACTCAAGATGCCGCCAAAGGCTCCCATCCAGCAACCTGAAGTCTCTGACGATGATTCCGGTGAAGATAGCATCGGAGCCATCGAAACATCACCGACAATCTTGGCGCAGCCAACGGAATCTCAACACAACCAGCCCCAACCTGGAACTCAGAACGCCTCGACCCAAGCAATTCCCATTCGCTTGACCAACCCAGTGAAATACTCGTCCGAGTACTCTACCTCTCCGGACTCAGCAACTCCATTCCTTCAGTCCACGAGCTCCTCATACGAAGCACAACCGCCTTGGCCGTCGCGCGAGCATACTCCGCCTTCTGGGTCTGAGGATGGTCCGCCCAAAGGCAAGCAGCTGCCATCAACGGCCGAGCAGCCCCCCCAGAAGCAAGATGGGCCCTCGGACGAGCAACTTCAAACTCAACTGCAACCGAAACCGGAACCGCGATCAGGCGATCAACTTCCTACCGACACGAAGCCTGCACCCTCACCACAAAATGTGCCTTTCATTGACGATGACAACCTGTCCAAAGACTTCGAACAATACGAGAAGGGAAGCAAGCTGGTGCTCACCTACCAAGCTCCGCGCCGACCTTACGGTCGTTCCGAGTATCCCAATCCTCCAGGCATCGACAGCGATGACAAAGTTCTGTCCGAAGCCGAAAAGCGCCTCTCTCGCACTGGCTTGGTCTATAACGACCGACATATCAGCAATCCTATTCCCGATCAATACAAGGCCACTGTCCACCTCACCGTCGTGAAAATCATATCCGGTGGACCTGTTGCTGGCACTCAGGTCATTCTGTGCAAAGTTGACGAAGCCAATTACGATGACGGAATGTCTAAGAAACAAAAAGGAACCTTGCTTCGAAGTGTTTCACTCTTGAGAACGAAAAGCACACGGGTGAAGAAGCGATTCGCCAGGTCCTCGATCGCGAACTTGTTCAGCCAGGAGAATGCGGGTAGTTCCTCTCTATCTCGAGGGACCGGGGGTAAGAAAGAACCAGACGTCGCCGGCAAGGCCCCAGTTGTGGAATCTCTCGCCGGTGAACGCTTGACCGTGGGTCAGCTTGCAGTCCTCAAGGTGTACGATGCCATGTTCTACCCCTTCCAGTATGGAATGTATCAAGGGCCCTGGAAGGTGACATCTAGAGCCGATCAGGAGCACAGTCGCGAGGCCGGTGCTTATAAGCATCTCTGGACTTACAAGAAGACTGGATATCCACACCTTGCACCTCAATACTACGGATCCTGGGCCATCAAGCTGACGACTACAAATTCAGCTGTGGAGGACAAGCATCGATTCGCCAGAGCCATCATCATGGAGTACATTGAAGGCACCAGCATTGAGGAGCTTTGTTTCCGGACCGCCAAAGAATACCTTCTAGTTCCTCGAAACATGAAGAAGTGCAAGTTGGCCGATGGCACAACTTGGGATTTTGATAGGAAGGTTCGCTTGGACGTCTTCGAGGAGCTCCTGGTAGGCTACGTAAATATGCTTCATCGCGGGGTCAACCTGCGTCTCGATCCCCAAAACATTCTTCTCACGGGTAAACGCGGAGATGAGGTTCTCAATGCAAAGCACCCTCGTGTTGTGGCAATTGACTATGTCGATGCGATGATCGACGATGAGAGGAAGGAGCCTCTCAGGATCTACCAAATTTGGGAGAAGCCGCCTCATCCCTGGGGCGAGACGTCTTTGCCAAAGATGCAATACTTTCACGGCTGGTTTCCCCATCATTGGAAGCCAGGGCACTTCGACAGCTGGCTAATTCGCACTTTCGGACAACTTGACGACCCGAAGTATACGGATCCCAATGATTCGAAGAACCCTAAACTGTCGAAGGCCCGTCAGGCATCAAAGCAACCTGAACTGGACCAAGACTCTCAACCTTCGCATTCTTGAGCATACGCAACGCGAGTGGTGAGGGGATTTCTATCATGATACAACGGAGACGACGCCTTGGCATTGATCACCGGCCAGGAGACACTGAATGTGGCGGACTGAAAGTTTGGAGTCGGGGTATGGTGGAGGAGGCACATCCACAAAGTGATACCAATACATTAGATTATGGGATGAGCATTAGGAGCATTGGAACGCGAATGAAGCAGAGATGATTCTGATGAAAATATTAGTCAGGGTTGATCTTTTCCAGCAGGAAGCTCATTGCTGTCAGTAGGTAGCTCAACATGGAATCGCTTTGATGAAGCCCGCCTGACTTGGTGCTTTGATAGTGGTACACAGAAATTGAGAATGTTTTGAGTCGCAGGCTAAGCATCCAGTCCACTGCGTGCCTTTACGCACTTACCTCTGTTTCCGTCGTTACTCTTATCCCTGTTACTACTGATAAATGAGGAAACACTTAGCCACAGTCCGCCCTTACAATGCAATTCCTCTTTCTGTTCTGCAAGAGGGCCTTCGTCTCTCTCCAAGTCATTGTGTTTAGGTATGGGTCTGTAAAGTCTGCCCATCGCTTAAGGCTGTTTAAATTTCACGCAAGGTTAAGCTTCCATTCAGACGTTCTTTGCAATTAGGCCAAAATCTTGCAATTTTTCATAGCGAGACGAGACCAAAAGCGCGCGGAGGCCTTGCGGCATCGATCTGCTCGACTGGCGAAACTGGGCAAATGTGATTCCCCAGATGAGAGTGCGCTACGAGGTCCGAAGCCCTTAGACATCGCATCGAGCTTCTCTGGAAGTCACTTCGTGAAGGGCTGGCCACTTTGCACCTCTCATCTATCAGACACTGTGTCGATCTTCACTGTCAGTTCCTGCGGAACGCCAGACCGGATCCAACGCTCCCCCCTCCCCCAAATCTACGCGGGAGTTCTTCCAAACTAGGATCTTTATCAACATCCGAAACGATCGCGCCAGAGTAGATGTAGATGCGCAGCATACTGGAACTTGCCCAAATCGACGCAGGATACCAGGAACAAGTTGTCCGTATCCTCCAAGGTCTGAACAGCGGCAGCAACGTACACGAATGCCACGGCGACCTCGTCGCCATAGACCGCCCTGAGACGCGGCATGTCGCGGATCCAGCTATCATCTAACTCACTCTTACCCTAATCTGATGAGGCTCCTAGACGTCTCAAAGAGCCCCATTTACAATGCGTGGGAGAATGCATTATCATAGTCTTCGAATCTCTGGAAGTGTCGCGTATGATCCAGCGCATATGCAAGGATGGTTGGCTAGTTGCCTTGTAGGCGGTAGTGGAAGGCTTTGTTCGCTTTGGGTGTCATAGGAAATGGCAGAAGGCTCCGGATGTGTGTCTTGGAAGAGGCTGTTTGAGTGAGGGTGGGATGAATGTGACCTGGTAGAGAGGAAGTGAGATAATGGCAACATGATCCGCCAGTCGACCTAAAGGTAACCCCCTTCATCGTGTCATTGCCATCACCTATCCTCATCTGTATTTTCCTTGTCACAATTATACTGCAAAGCTTTGCGTATAGTCTTCTAGGAATATACACTCAAAGAAAGAGACTCAAAGGGAAACCAGTAGGGGTAGTATTTATAAAGGTAGTGGTAGCGGTAGGGTAGTATTCGTTTAGTAATAAACATGATCTTAATATGGAAGATGTGATGTATTTTAGGACGAGGCGTGAATAAGGTAGAAAGAATCTTGAATCATCTGCCAAGTACCATACCTCACCTAATACCTGAGGTACCTCACCTCATCATTCCACAAGCAATCCCACCTTTTCTCTCCGGAAGGTTCCAGATCTGATTCTTTCCTTGCTATCTGAATACAAAAGCATCTGGAAATGGTCTTCCGCCTCTTCTTTCCTTCGCGCCTTTTCCCCATCGCACCTTCTTCACATCACGTCGTTCTCTACAAACCCGACGACGACCAGTACTGCCCCCAGAGAAATCGATTCGCCTCACGATGGCATCATCCCTTCTGCTTCTGGATGCCATCATCCAGCGCGACCCTCTAAACGACCATTTGCCACAAAACCCCCCATCCGCAGGCGAAAGAAAGCGGTACACTCATAAAGCCAGCGAATCGGTGGCCCAACTCGAGATTGATTTCGATCTGAAACTCTGCGACTCATCCGAACTCGTTGGCGAGGGCGTGACTCTTTTCCAAAGAGCGCGAGATGCTGGCCACTTCATCGGCACGGATTTTGGCCAAACTCAGCGGCCCCCCAAAGACTCAGCCTTCGTCATCCACAATGAGAATATGCTAACGAAGTGGCTGTACAAAGACGTCTTCGCCGGTGTCGTTTCTGGATACCAGGAGACTCGCACATACCAAGCGACCCGCACACCTGTCAACAAACCCGCAGTCAAGATATACAAGCGGCACACAGACGTCCAGACTCTTTGCGAGCACACTCGCACGGTTGTCGCAAAGGCCCAGCGTAATTGCCCCAAGAGAAGCGTCCTTGCTGGACAAGATTTCAAGTACACTTTCCGCTGCGACATGGACATGAGGAAAGGTACGCAACCGGGCAAGACCATTGACGACGAGAGGAGTAAAGTCGTCTTGAACATTGAGTTCAAGCAACCATATGTCATACCAATGGAAGCTTGGATTCGGTCCGCACGACAAGGTGATGGCGAACTCGGCGCTGGCAAGAAGATCCTCGGTGGCAAGAAGACCGCCGCTGGCACGAGAACCATCGCTAAACCCAGTGCCGATGAACAGCCAGTCATCATCGCCCATGACTACACTGCCGGCAACTATCAAATCAATGACCTTTCGAACCCGGATGTCTATCTGGATATCGACGACACCAAAACTCGAGTCACCTAGGAGGATGACGAGCATGGCCGTGGAGCCGAATCTGACGACGAAATGCTTGTCGACGCAGAGTCCGACGCTGACCAACACCGAGAGGCGGCAGTCACCCGACAGCTGCGCCCCGGCAAGAAGATGGACTGTAACGTTGAGATATGTTCTCAACAAATTGGCCAGTACTGTAAGATTCACAGAACTCGCTATGGGGCGATTGTTACGGGCGAGTACATCGCCTTCGCCTACTTCAAGAATATGCGCATTATGGAGACTGCGGCTCGCCAAATGGAAGAAGGTCTCGGAAACATCTGCGAGCTTTATCTCGTTCCGGACAGCGGAGAGTGGAGAGCTGCTATTGCAGGCTTCCTCGACAGAGGCTACAAGGACTTCATTTATGTAGAGGCGGCCAAGGATTGGAGACCAACGCCCCCACCCAGATAGACGAAAGAGGTATGCTCCCTGGCAGCTACCTATCCGGGAAGGATTGTACATGAGGTTTCTTATGGAATTGTTGAATTCTCAGGCAGTTTCCACAAACGACAACTTTGGTCGCAAGTGTAAGGTGCATGGCCTCAGCCGGTTCATCGGTTCATGAAGGAGGGGGAGGCAGACATCCAGGATGACATTGATACTGGAGCCGAAGGGACTCAAGGGGGCCGCCAATTTGCAGAGAATGAGAGTTTCTAGACAGATTGTTAGATTTGAATGACAGTCGCCACATATGACCCTACGTTTCACTACTGACATCACTTGATATGGCGCACTACTGTCTAAAGTGCTAGACTGGCGGTGCGTTAAGGCTTCAGATTACGATTTACTGAGCACCGCCGGCTTAGTGCCTCTGAGAGGCTGCTGTGGAAGTTGGTGATGGACAAGTCTTCCACAGTGCTGAAGATGCTGATGTTGAAGCTTGATATAGTTCGTGTTTCTACTGTGACAACTTATCTATTTCCTACTTCATCTCCGCGAACCAGCATAGCAATCGATGATCGTTCCCTAACCCTGGGCTCCTCTTCTTCACTCACTATTAATATAATTAAACATAATATCTAAATATACCATTAATGATATGAAATACTCTAAATCTATTGAAAAACTCTTCTTTAGTTCGCCATCATCCGCTATGCCCGCCAACTAACACAGCGGTCCCACCTGATATGAGCAATCTCGGCTCCAGGTAACACCTCTTGGACATTTCAAAGTCCAACTTCGCCGCTATCGCTCCGTCGACCCGGAAACGATGCCATACTGTTAATTCAGAGCTAACACTTGCGCTTGTGAGAATGGCATTGTCTCCTTTTCCCGCATTACGTTGCCTGCGGCAAAGCCTTTGGCCGCGGGAGAACTATAAAGAAACGCTCCGGTCGCTAAGCGCCTAGATATCGCAGCTATGTGGCATCGGCGGCCGGATGCCACATTCACCGGACCCGATGGTCTGGTAGCGTTAGCAAGTGCGGATATTCATGTACCTACGTACAATATCCGTATCCGTGGTTCTTGTTCAATGGCTTGTACATTCATGTTGCAATGCCGGCCGCATTGACGGAGAGGATGTCCCCGTCCTCGTTCGTCAGGAAGTGCACCGGGCCGGGTCACACAGACCGACCGGCCCCGGAACCGGACCCACTCTCCAGTGGTTGTTGATATCCGGGATGATAGTGAAAGGTACTGCCAATAGCTGCCCAGGCAGTCTAACGCACCGTTCGTCATCTATCATTTGCAGCCGGAATGACAGAACCCCACACGAGTGCTTTCACTTCAACTATTAACTCGTTTTGCCATACTGCACAGGTATCTTCATTGTGGAAACGCGGGGAACAGTGATAGTGGCTGGGGTGGAACGTGCGAAGATACGGTCGCCATTGCATGGAGATAACAAGTTGCTTCGGTCATCCTGGTTTCGGTCTATCAAACTGTCCAAGTACCTACCTATCCGTAGTATACTTGAACTACCGATAACAATGCGGGGTTTAGCCACGCCCAACTCTATCTGTCCCGTATCAAGGAAAGACACGGTTTTCCGACTCAGTGCAATGGTGCGGTGCTGGTTGATCGTCAGCACCAATGGTAGATAAGGCTTTTATAAGAGCACTAGTTCCCTTCCCTCAAGTTATGTCCTTGGTGATGTTGTCTCCGTGAGCGACTCAGTGCCAGGTCAATCCAAAATAAGCATCATTCACCATGGCCGACATTAAGACAGAAAAGCCTCAACCAGAGGTTTCCGACGCTGCGGATACGGCCGAGGCGTACACTGAGAAAGTCACGCTATCCGAGCACGACTTGGAATTGGAACAAGCGTTGGCAAACTATGTTCCAGATTCTCCGGAAGAGAAGGCCCTCGTGCGGAAGCTCGACTTATACATGGTTAGGCTTTTTTCCCTCCCTTCAACCCCCCTGGCTCGTCTGCTGGGTTGAACAGTAGTCGAAATCCGAGTCAGCAATGGCGCGATGCTAACGCTCATGGCAGGGGCCGACATTGTGGTTCATGTACATTTTAGCGTACATCGACAGGCAGAATATCGTGAGTCTATCGCGGCAGATTACACGCAGGGGTGCCTGAACTGACTTGTCACAAAGGGCAATGCCAAAGTTGCTGGTATGGAAGCAGACCTCAAACTCACAGACGACCGTAAGCGCCCCTACACAAACCCAGGCGAAAGGAGTCAAAGAATTCGGTATTGACAAAGATGATGTATGATGCAGAATATGCCATGTTGCTTTCGATCTTCTTCATTGGCTATCTCGTCTGCGAAGTTCCTTCGAACATGCTGCTCACTCGATCCCGCCCGTCGTACTACCTGCCCGGTATCATGATTGTCTGGGGCACCGTATGTTCCGTGATGTCGGTCGTCAAGAACTACGAAGGAATGCTGGCTCTTCGGTTCTTTCTCGGCTGCATAGAGGCCGGATTCTTCCCTGGTGTCTTGTACGTGATGACTTGCTGGTACAAGAAGGCAGAAATCGGTAAGTACCTACCTACCTTATTACCTACTATCACGGTATCACCCGCGAGTCCCGTACTTTAATCTACTTTTCATCTGTAAAAGTAGCTAAAGTACAGATATAAGCCAAGCCCCACAACTGGTCTACGTCAGCTCGTACTAAGGTGAAATTGCGTTTTACAGGCAAGAGGTTTTCAATCTTCTACACCGCTTCTGTGTGCTCCGGCGCCGTGAGCGGCCTCCTCGCTGGCGCAATCACCGGTAATATGGAAGGCGTTCGAGGCATGCGAGGGTGGCGATGGCTCTATCTGATTGAGGGCGTCTGCACGGTCGGGTTCGCCATGATTTTCAAGTTCGTGCTGCTCGACTTCCCCGAGACAACGAAGCGCTTCTCATTGGAGGAACGGCAACTCGCCGTGGTCCGCATGATCCACGATCGGCAAACGACGGCGGCGCGACACGGCCAGCGCCTCACTCACTGGCAATCTCTCAAGGCCGCGCTGGCCGACCCGCGGACGTACATCTTTGTGGTGCTCTTCACGATGGACCTGGGCTCCTGCACAATCTCCTACTTCATCCCCACGATCGTCAAGCAGATGGGCTACACGTCGGTCATGGCGCAGTACATGACCATCCCCATCTGGATGGTCGGCGCCGTCTTCCTGCTCGTGCTCTCGTACACGGCCGACAAGACGAGGGACCGCAGGTGGCACATCACGGGGTGCATGTGTCTCAGCTTCATCTGCACGCTCGTCTGCGTGACCGTGTCGAACCCCAAAGTCGTGTACGCCATGCTGTGCTTCTACATTGCCGGTTTGTACACGGCGCTCCCGCTCATGCTTAATTGGACGTCCGAGGTCATTTCGCTCCCTGCGGAAAAGCGCGCCGTGGTGGTGGCCCTGGTCAACTCTGTCGGAAATCTCTCGGCGGTCTACGGCAGTAGGTTCTGGCCCTCGTCGGACGGGCCCCGGTTTGTAAAGGGGTTCGCCGTCACGGGTGCCTTCACCGGCTTCGGAACTATTCTGGCGGCGCTGATTCCTGTCATCTTCTCGTACCTGCCCAAGGAGGGTAACACCAAGGCTGAGAAGGAGATCTTGGCACGCGAGAGAGAGTTTGTTGAGAATACCAGAGCCCCTGGTGAAGTTTAAAGTCGTATGAGTTTGCGAACTGGCAATATGGGCAAAGGGAAAACGACGCCCGGGTCGGGACGGTGGGGGGGAAGTGGGAGATCGAATTCAATTCGCCTCCATCAGCATTGGTAAGACAAGGAGGGGGGAGGGGGTTCGTACCGAGGAGTTAATATAAATATATGAAGTGCAACTTTGAATGGCACCTTGACAATTCACAAAGCCATATTTTATGGAACAGCGTTCCCTCCCAGGAAAGAGAGTTGCCGATCACAGTAAACACAGGTTCAGGTCAGCCATGATGATTGGAGGCTTTGGAGGTTCTGGTTCGCTTCTATCCGCCATTCTGACGGTCTGACCGCTGCTGCCGTGTGTCCCGGCAAACAGAGCCGAGATCCAATTTTGATGGCCAAAGGGATGTAAGGGAACAGGTCGGTAATACTGGGTGTTGTGGTGCTGTTCCCAGAGTTCCCACAAGAGTTTCCATCTCACCGGAAAAGTCGATCCTTTGAAGAAGTGACAGGAACCACAATTCATCCTCGTCATCCTTGTGGCTTGATAACGGATATCGTTCAAGATGTGGCTCCCTGTGGGCTGTGGCTCCTCCATATGGGGCTTTCTCGAGTTCCTCGTGGGCTGGGCTTGAGGCTCAATCTATTTCTTGGCATGCATATCCTGGTCTCTGGGACCTTGACAACTTTTGGTGTACGAATTCTGCCCGGGATTGGATCCCACCCCTGAATGGGCACGGATTGCGAAGGAGAAGAAATGTCAGCCAAAGGCATTAGCCGCCTATTTCTCATAATCAGCCCGTCCAAACTAACCCCGTTCGAGGCGATCCGGCTGCCCATGCCATCCTGACTCGAAACACTAAGGAGAGACAACCCGCACCAAGCAGAAAATGGCGTGTGTGTTTTTTCTGCTTCCGATTGACTTTCTCTCCCTCCGCCGACCACGTCCTTGAGAAAAAAGGTTTCTTTTTGCAGTACGGGGGGGAAGACTGACTGCCGTCACGACTCACAATACACGTGTAACCGAAAAGTAAAAATTAAAGTCCACGAAGGAGCTTGGGCCAAATAAATGGAGCCTGATGCGCCTACCGCGGTTTATGCTTAACAGATCTTATCCCTTCTCAGGACGACATATTACTGCGGTATGTGACATTGTCACACGTAGAGTCGGAGACAGGCCGAGGCTAGAAGCTTGTTAGTTTATTTTCTCACAACCCCTGATTTGTTCTGATGGATTACTGGGTCTCTCTCTCAGTCTCTGTGAGTTAGAGTATGCCAGTGCCCACGCGCGTATTGCTCTTCCATGTCTGTGCCGCAGGGCGGCGTTTGTGGCGTGCCCGAGTTTGCTAATGCTAACAAATGCCAGAAAGTACGCATACCTACCTAGTAAGACGCCATCAACCGGGAAATTTCCAACCGTTTCATCGGAACGAGTTATGGAGAGCTTACGGAGTAGAGCGTGGTGCTCTGCATTTTGGAGCTCCTTTTTCTCGGATCCCAAGTGTCCTTAGTGGCGGAAATTTCTCTGAACCCATGTTTGGCACCTTGCAGACGGAGTAGTCTCTCCTCTCAAAAACGAATGGTACCCTAGGAGCGCGAACTGCCGCTCATGGACATGAGTACTGACTGGTTTGGACACCCCGTGACCCCGTGACATCTCACTGCAGCAGGTCCTCTCCGTGCTCCATCGATGGCAGTCTCTAGTCTCCGGGAGGGGGGCAGCCACACTTCCCAACTCCCGCCCCTCCCCCCCTTTAACGCGGCCCTACCAGCGGAGATTTCTGTTCGTCTTTTCATTGATGGAAGTGACGCCACAGACGAATGCGAGGCCGTGCGAGGGCCCGCGAGCTAAGCCGAACGTCTTCGTCGACGGGCTCGATTCGGATTGTGCCGCCGAAGCTATCACCGCAACCCCGGGTCGGACGGGGGTGACGTGGTAGATGAAGGGGTCACAGAGCGCAGCAAATCCCCACGAATCAGTGGGGATTACCCACCACTCTATCCCTCGAACAAGTCGGCTCCGGCACCCAACGCCATGATTCTTCGGAAAGTAGTGTGAGTGGGTTAAGCAATGTTCCTCGGCCGACTGCGCAATTGGGGGCGTGCTTTTCTTTCGAAGGCCTAGAAGGATGAGGAGCCGTGAGATGAGATGAGGCCTTCGTCTGGCCCTGCTGGTGGGGAGGTTCTCCTCGAAGGCTTGGTGGTTAGGGGGGCTACTCTATCCGTACTACCTGGGTTGCCTGGGAAAGGAGATGGAAGACATGGAGGAAGGGGGTTCGTCGAAGGAGCGGCGTGAAGCAGCGGCACAGCTTCCAAACAAACATATATGATCGACCTTGAGCCGCGCTCTTTGACTTGGAAGCTCCCATTTTACTCCAGCGGCTTTCGTCCTCTTGTCTCTCTTTCACATCCGACCAAACCCAGTTCGTTCTTTTGTATCTACCTTTTTATTCTTCTTGTTCGAAAGCCTTCTAAATATGAGATCTGCTCTTCTCTCCGTGGCACTGGCTGCCTTCGCCCCCTTGGCTCTCGCAGCCGACGCCGTCTCTGGCGCCGCTGAGGGCTTCGCCAAGGGAACCACCGGTGGTGGTAGCGCCACTCCCGTCTACCCTTCCACCACCTCCGAGCTCGTCTCCTACCTTACCGACTCCTCCGCCCGCGTCATCGTCTTGACCAAGACCTTTGACTTCCGCAACACTGAGGGTACCACCACTGCCACCGGCTGCGCTCCTTGGGGTACTGGCTCTGCTTGCCAGACTGCCATCAACAAGGACAACTGGTGCACCAACTACCAGCCCAACGCCCCCAAGGTCTCCACGACGTACGCAGAAAATCACTTACATCCGGCGGGTATACAGTGACTTTCATGATACTAACTTCCTTACTTCATAGCTACGACAACGCTGGCCTGAACCCCATCAAGGTCGGCTCCAACAAGTCCATCATCGGACAGGGCAGCAAGGGTGTCATCATTGGCAAGGGTCTCCGCATCACCGGCGGCGCCAAGAACATCATCATCCAGGTATGAAGACTTATTTCACTGGACTAGTCACTATCATGCCGGCCAGGGGCTAACTACCGGTGCTAGAACATTCACATCACCAACCTGAACCCCAAGTACGTCTGGGGTGGTGATGCCATCACTCTCGACGGCTCCGACCTCGTCTGGATCGACCACGTCAAGACCTCCCTGATCGGCCGCCAGCACATCGTCCTCGGCAACGGCGCCTCCAACCGTGTCACCATCTCCAACAACGAGATTGACGGCTCTTCCTCCTGGTCCGCCACCTGCGACGGTCACCACTACTGGGGACTCTACTTCACCGGCAGCAACGACATGGTCACCTTCAAGAAGAACTACGTCCACCACACCTCTGGCAGAGCCCCCAAGGTCGCCGGTAACACGTACGTATATTTCCTGCCAGCTTTGGGCAATCTGGTGCTAGCGAACTTTCCGACTAACAAGAATCCATCACAGTCTCCTCCACGCCGTCAACAACTACTGGTACGACAACTCCGGCCACGCGTTCGAGGCCGACGCCGGTGCCAAGATCGTCGCCGAGGGCAACATCTTCCAGAACGTCGTCGCCGCCTACCAGACCGGTCTCGCCGGCCAGGTCTTCGCCTCCCCCGACTCCACCACCAATGCAAAGTGCTCCACCAACCTCGGCCACGCCTGCCAGCTCAACGCCTACGGCTCCAGCGGCACCCTGGTCGGCTCCGACACCTCCATCCTCGCCAACTTCGCCGGCAAGAACGTCGCTTCTGCCGGCACCGCCAACGACGCCAAGGCTGTTGCCACCAGCGCCGGCTTCGGCAAGCTCTAAGCGCTTTGGCTTGGATTGCTTGCCCCCTTTTTATCTCTCCTGTTGGAGTTTTTCGGTGGTTGTAATTGGGGGAGGTGTTGAGTCGGGTACACGCAAAGAGACCAACGACAGATTCATGTACATATCTTACTACTTTACCGTCGAGAACGTAAATATCATGCTTGATGCATCACACATTGCACATAATACGCAAAACATCAAGACCCAGAGCTCCATACATGTGAAGAATACCGTTATAGTTTTGTCAAGCGGCGAGCTTTTACGATTGAAGGCCTCCGTGACCTTCATGACATTTTGCAGGACAGAGAACGTAGGATGATTACATCACAAATCCTCTTATACGTTTCCACTCAAATGGAGAGTCAATCTCGGCTTACTCTACGCAAGTGCCAGACAAGTGATACGTTTCTCAAGCAAACCATAGACTGTGTTTGGAGTTATCTGGATGCCCTCCAGCCAACCTACATCCTTTACTTTATTTTTTCGAGAGAAAGAAAAGCTCCAGGAGCCAAGTAGGCGTTCAGCGATGTACCAGCCTACCTAGTTACCTGACATTAGGTTTTCATAGCACATGGTTCTCGCCGTCAGCCGTCACTTTGAGAAGAAATTGTGGATCTCGGTCATGGAGAGCGGGGTGGCACCCGGAGGGCCGGAGCTGCTCGGCCCACCACCACACACGGAACCTAAACACCCGATGTGCCCCACTCGGACCCGAAGCCCTCGGGCTTTGGCTGGCTTCCGTGTCCCCCGTATTCACAGAGGTACACCGCCGAAAAGGTATCATAGAACCACGGGCGGAAGGAACCTTTTGTCCTGGATCATAAAGCCGGCCTTTCTGTTATCCTCTTTCGAGAGAATGTTTCTCCTCTGTCTCCTTCTCATCTACAATAATCAGCAAACCATTCATATTCATCCACCAATACGTACCCGCAAAGATATACCACACTGCGCCAGACTCGAACACGCTCACCAAAGCAAAAATCGAAATTATCGTAACAACCTCTATTCTATACAGTAAGTCCTTCTGCATTTGAACAACCGATCGCAATATCACTAACATACCTAAGCAGACAAAAAACCTATCTCACCATGCCCGATCCCGGCCTTGTGATGCTTGCCATCTCCGCTGTGCTCTTCCAGGTGATCGTCATTGCCGCAGTGTGGCACACCACACCGCTCCGTCGCTCCACCGACGACCCCGAGGAGGACGCTCGGCGCGAGGAACAAGAACGCAGGGAGGGAGCAGCTCGGAGAATTCGGGAGTTCGAGGAACGCGAGAGGAGGCAAGCACTCGAGGAGAAGCGCGGAGAGCAGCGCGAGCAAGACACCGCCATGCTTCGCGAGCTCGCGAGGAGGACCGCTTCGTTGGGGCAGGCGGAGGGGGAGCATGACGAGAAGGCGCCGCTGCTTCCGCGGGATGAGAAGAACGGGTGGTGATCAGGGGGGCTAGTCGTGATGGAAATAGGGTACCTCAGTGTAGCGAAAAAGTTTTGATTTCATGGCACTCGACGACTTACCTACCTACCTACCTACTCTATCCCCACGAACCAACAAAGCAATGGAAGATCCCTCCCGGACCCTGAACGTCTCCTGCCCACCCGCCTTCAATATCGCCGAAATAGCATACGAGTGCACCGTCAACGACACAAACACCGCCGGATCCGTCGAGAAAATCTCCTCCAGCACAAGCTGCTTCCTCGCGACGTGCGCCTCCGCCGTCTCGAACCGATCCGCCTTCCAAAGCCGGTCCTCCTCCGTGAAGCCAGGCTCTATACGGTACCGCGGATACGCACCCTCGATCCAGCTCCGCGGGCTCCTCCTGTCGCACGTGTGGTCCGTCATGCGCTCCCTGAGCCCTTCCTTGACGACGGGTCGGAATTCCCGGCCCGCGCCCTGGGATTCGACTAGGGGCCCAAAGGCGAGGTTGCTCGTCTCGAGGCACCGGCGGAGAGGGCTCGTGTAGAAGGATTCCGGGAAGGGGACGCCCTCGCCCTCGGCGACGGTGGAGGTCGCGCGCGCCCAGAAGGTGTTTAGGTCTTTTGCCTGCTGGATGCCTGCGTCGACGAGCGCCGCGTCGAGCCAGGTCACGACGCCGTCGCCGTCTAGGTGAGACCAGTATCGCTGATCGCTCTTCGTCAGTGCTTCGACTTTTCATCAAGAATGAGAAAGTTTGGGAAAAAGCTTACATCCCACTCAGCCGTGCCGACCTTGGCTGCTTGGACATTATGGTACCCGAGGCCGTGCCTCGTCAGAAACAGGACCTTGTAGTCCACGCCATCAGGGCTATCCGCGTTGAGCTTCCTCACGTGAGAGGCGAATCGCTCCCAGGGCCTGGCGCCGTTGTCATCAGCCGCTGCATCTCCAAAGTGCATGTCGAGGAGTCCGAGGCTTGGCTGCGTGGTTACTTTCCCGTTCGGGCTGGCGTCGGCGGCCTCGTAGTAGTCTATAAAGTACTCGGGCAGGATCGTGAATTTGTACCGGCAGACAGGGCTAGACGTTGGAGCGGTCATCTTGGTTGCGGCGATGAGTGCGGGGATGAGGCTCGGGGGGTCCACGAGCTCAAAGAAAACGCTAGATATACAACCCAACGGTTCCCAGGTTTGATGCAAGATTGGAAGATGTGACGAGGTCCTCTAACTGGGGGTTTCGCGGGGCCTAGCTCAAACTAAATACCCGATAGTCGCAAAGTATGGACGGTGCTTGTAAGGCTGAGCAACTTTCCGGCCCAGCTGGATCTGGTCTAAACTCTGGCGGCGTAATTCGGCCCCAAGTAATCCCCCCAATTCAATTCACCATATCTGCCTTGGGATCTGCCTTGGTGATATGAATTTCCAAGCGCCTGGATAATAAGCTCGTGATAAGCATCGAAATAAGTTCATACCTCTAAAATATCCATACAAATCTTCAAATGAAACCAGGAATGTATCAACCACAATTGGAAAAGTGAGCGAAATCTACAAGACTTGCAAAAAAGAGCCATGAATCTCTACGATATCAACAGCTCAGAGCAATGAGCACGCATTTAGCTTTGGCAGGAACGGCATCCGAACTTTGCTAGATACCCATTGGCACCATTCAACCATGGGCAATGCCTTCTTCAATTAGTAAACACTTGCTTGGGGGTATCTTAATTCTCAAATGACTATTATCCATAGCGCCAGTCATCGCAGGAGCACCTCTATTTTGACAGACCAGACTGCCTCAGACAGCTCCCAAAGCTGTCCAGAGGCGTCTCCTTCTTCACACCCAAGCTTCTCATATCCACCAATGGCACCATGGATGGTCGTCCGTGTGCGCACTGAAATGGGAACGAGCACCGACTGAGCCTGCGAACAAGAGCTTCGCATTCGTCCCTGAATAGGACGTCGTTGAACATGATGGCACCTACTCGAGTTAGCATCATGACTTCTCACAAAGCTGGAAATTCCATCTTACTGCGGCAGGATCTCGAATTAAGCAGGTCGAGGATCCCTTGGGGACATCCGTGAAAGTTCGATACCCAGTCGATTTCTTGACTGCTACCTCCAGCAGTGAAGCTGAAGGGCCTGGAAGCTGGGCTGCCGTCTTCCTCGGCTCTCCATATTTCGTGCCGAAGAAGGTCTGCGACCAATTTTGGCTCTGATCTGCACCGCTCAAGAATGCTTGGTGGTAGGCTGAACACGTCCACCTTGGGGAGCTGCCTACTGTTGTGCCGCCAGTCTGTCGGCTCCGGTTCATCGATATTGAAAAGAATTCCCCATCGACGTAGATGGTGGGCGTATTTGCGCAGCAGCCGGCATTCCTTGGACGAGAACTCGAATTGTAAGGGCTTTTCGAGAGCCTCCGTCTGTGCAAGCACCTCTTTCGGACGATTCGCAACGTAAAAATAGTCCCGCATCAGTGACTCGAGTCGGCATCTCTCGTCTGCGGCGTGTTGATCAATCAAGACTAGTACAGAATTCGTTTGGGAATCTGGCAGGTTTCCGCCAGAAATCAGATCACGTCTGAGTTTCACCAGAATGAACTTATTGTCAACCTGGGAGACAACTTCTGCTTCCATCAAAGCAGCCTTGGAGACTCGTCCAGAGAGCTTGATATTCGACGTGTGGGCCCCGTGTGAACATCCAGTGGTGTCAAGGTCTAGGGACTGAATCAGACCTTGTTTTGGTCCTCCCTGTGTACCATCCAGTTGAGGCACGGGGGGGTCGACGGGCTGAAAAACGGGATTCTCCCATTTCGAAAGAATACTCCTGAGCCTATCGCTCGGCGGTTGAGGTTTTAGGCCATCCCGTGGCTTGAAGAATTGGGAAGAAGAAGGCAGCAAGTTGATGTGGCCTCGTACTCCGTCATTGGGCTTTGCCGAAGATGACTTCGACTTATTTTCCTCTTCCTCAAACGATGACCGCGTAGAAAGTTGATTTTGACCAGCAGCCTCACTTGTAGCGCTGGAACGGTTACCAGGTTCGACCTCCTTTGACGACGACTTCGGCATCAAGTCATCAAAGGGCTTCCGCAGAAGATTTCCGGACTCGTCGAGGTACCGCAAACTAGGCTGAGCTTTCTTGATGTCCTCGCCTGGCTCTTGTTCTGCAGTGCGCCTGATGGTGGCTCCCGAAGCGACCTCTGAGGACAGAGGAGTTGATGCTCCCGATTTCGAGGTGCCTCCGGATGTTCTTCCCATTTTGACTCGTTGCCAGAGATCGAAAGGAGACTCCGGCCTCGATAGCGGGGTAGCCGAATTCGATCGACTAGTCGTTGACGAGACTGTCCGCGACCGGCTGCTGCCTCTGCGTCTTCCTTCCCGAGAATCGTCTTCTTGATGCTTGCCACTAGAAGAACCCTGGAGCGAGGTAGTGACTTTGTGAGGACGGAAGTGGTGCTTCTTCAAGAACTCGTAACAGACAAGCTTAAGCAGGTCGATCATGTTCGCGAGGGTGTGGTTCCGTTCCTCGAGAAGGTCCTCAAGAGACGAAGCTACGAGAGGACGTGCACGGGACGAAGAGCTGATTCGAAAATAGAACATTGGCCACCGATCCAAGCCTCGCCTCAGCTTGGTAGCTTTTGTTGAAGTTCCCTGTGGATGTGGGAGAACGACCCCGGTCGAATCGCTTCGGACATCCGCGTCCTCTTCTATGGCAAAACCGGAGTTGACGAACACACGATTAACCTCATTGTACAGGAAGTTGGTCCCGTGCTCATTAGACACAGGATGGATACCAAAGCTGATGAACTGAGTTCGACGTGTGGCCATGGGCTTCAGCGCTATGCATCCTGCGATGGTCAACTTCCCAACAGATGCGCCGATGGAAGTCCAGACTACTTGATCCAAGCCGTCCACAAGACCTGATTGTGTCAGAGTGCGTGATGAACGAGCTACCAAGTCCGACTGAGGTGTTTTATTGGGCCTGAAGCGTGTCTCGTTGTTGTTGACACTGTCTCTGACGAAGAGAGCAACATTCGAAGACCAGGCTAGCAACAGAGCAGTGAGGTCATGAAGTAATCGGCCCCATTCCTTGTCCACTGCGACTTTTTCCGAGGCTGCAGCTCTCTGCTTGACTCTGACGGCCATGGAGCCAAACAAGTCTCTAACGGTGACGCGGGTTCCATGGCTGAAGGTCACTAGGCGTTGCTCCGGTAGGGCAGGGATGTTGCGTGCCAAGACCTTTGAGTTGTGAATGGTGACTGAGTTTTGCGAGTTGTAGAGATGGTGGTGGGAGGTGATGGAGAGCAGAGATAGAGCGGCAACAGAGGCTAGGAAGTTGCCGTTGACACCGTGGCAGTCTGTCTCGGGCGAGAGTCTTGATGTGTCTGAAAATGTTTTAGCAAGTGCACGCTAAGATGAGTTCATGTAGCTCACGATGCTGTTTGGCCAGTCCTCCATTCTCTTGGAATTCAACCGGTAGAATGCCTAGCCCGTCGTCCTCAACCGTGCAATTGCCACGAGAATAGTCGATAGTAATATTGACCCTTGTGGCCTCGGCATCGAGGGAATTCTTGACGAGAGCGCATGCGACGCCGTTAAGAGACGTAACTGTGGCTGAGGACCTGATGCGGCGGGTGACGTCCTCTGGCAAGGGCTTAATGGACATGATGGGATTTGGGAAATCGAGGCGCCATGTCGAGACGCGTCAGGATGAGCCACCGGGGATGACTGCGTATGTGCATGGATGTCTGCAGTTCCTGATTTACACGGCCATGGCAATTGCTTGCCAATGTTCAATCAACGATGACAACTTCCGCTGGTCAAAGGCCAATGCTCGTGCAGTGAGTGGAACGGAAGGAAGGCGACGTCAGGAATGGCGATAAGCGATAACGCGCGATAAGAAATCGTGAAGGAATTAGATAAGATACCTTTGGTAAGGTACCTGAGCGGAGGCGGTCATTTCCGTTCGCCGACAACCTAACGCCCTCAGGTGTGGCTGCCCCTGCTTCCAACCACACCAAGAAAGGCGCCATGTGAGTCTTTTAAGTTTCAGTTTGAGCGCTAGATTTGGCAAGTGTCGGACAAGTGAGCTGAAAGCTTTGGAAACGGCCTGGGAAGTTGCGAACGGTTATTGAGGGTGGTTGGGAATGGGGCTGAGTATGACTCTATGGTAAGAGACGTTTAGTTCTCGATGGCGGTTGCCAGCTTGGATATCAGTATGTTGCCGCAAGATTCTGAACATGATTGCAGAGGGCTTCGCTCTTATGACTGAGGTGTGCTCGAAGGTATTGGTGTTGAACGGCTAGGACAGATCAAGGGGCCACGAAAGTGCGGGGATCCAGAATCAATCCGGAGTACGAAAGCTCAAGCTGCCGTCTGATGTTGAGGAGCAAAGCGGCTGATGGTTACTGTGTAATGTTGATTGTCTTACATGTGATCCCTGTCTTCCTGGTTCCCAACGTCAAAAGGTAGCCACGAGGATGGGATGCCTATTGGAGATACGAACACACCAATTCTGTCTCAAGTTGGTGTGATTCCTTGAGCTTTCTATCGCGTCTCGAAAAACGTGCTGAGAAAGTCTACCATCCAGCGGCACGTACGAGTAAGGTAGAGTCGACACGGTAAAGAGCATGCGAAATTATCGAGAGTGTGACATCACACATCAAGCGACCTGTTGTGCGTGGCTGGTGACTGCACAGATGATGATGATGACATAATGCGACCCGATGGATCGATTTGCAGCAAATAGCAACAAGTATAAGTATGCGTAAGCAATTAATGAAGCTCGCACCAATTGGCAGTGTTTTCGATGGGATTTAAGGGTCCACGCTTCTGGGGGACCTTGCAGTGATCCCAGTCGAGCTCTTTGGAATGACATTGATGATCGGAAGAATGGAGTCCTGGGAAGACGAGAGTCTCCGCTTGGGTCGGGACGGATAGCACCAAGTGGTTCAATTTCGTCAATTCCAGGGCTGGGTTAACGCTGTACCTTGGCTTGATCGCGTTGCGCTTGTTTGGACCACACCGTCCTCCACCATGAGACTGACAAAGGCTGGGGTTTCTCTACCTTTGCCCAGATGCCGCCTCAAAGCCTACTTGAGCAAAAGTAACAAAAGTAAGTAGTGCCAGTTTCAGAGGCTTGTTGGGTGCTTCCAAGCTAGCGGGCAGTTGACAGACGCAGACTACCGAGGGCAGTGGAGATGGGTGAGAGCGACCCCCAAGGTCTCAGAGTCTCCGAGATGGCTTCGGCCGTGGACCACTGATATGTTGCTGATCTACCGTAGGGCGGCGCAGGCGGGACGTGGACGTGGACCTTGCCGTGGGTGCGTGGTTGCGTAAGGTGAGGTGGGCTGGATGTTGGGTGCCACCCTCCCCGGTTCTGGTGTTGTCGTGTGGTCGTATCCAACATTGAAAGGAAGGGTACTCCATATGTCGTCCGAGTACTGGTAGGATTGATAGAGACGTATGAGTATCTCTGGGGCGAACTGGAGTATCGTGCTTACCTTACCTTAGTCAGATACCTCACCTTAATGTAGATGAAAGAAGGGAAAGAGACCATACAACGTACGACGGGCAGGTTGTAAGAAAAGATAGGCTGGGCTGGGCACCGACGATGGGCAGCGCCTGGGGCGTCCGGGCTGGGGCTTTGCGGTTGCGGCCCACTCAGCTCCACGCCTTGGTCCCCCATGATTCAAATCCGTCCTGGTCCTTTCGCAATACCTAAAATACCTACTGAGGTATGTGAGGTAAGGTAGTAAGATACGGATAGGTAGGTACCTTGGGTTCCCTCTTTTGCCCTGAGGTGGGCTTTGCATGGAACCAAAGTGACTTGGTGACTTGGGCCAGCGACCAGCGGCCAGCGCCAGGCCGCCAGCCCAGCTCCAGCAACGTCGAATAAACGTAGGTAGGCAAGGTACCTACGCTGCCGCTGTTAGGTACTGCCGCTGCCATTTGCATTCATTGCCTTGGACTCTTTCCCATCCCACTTCCAGCTTCCAGTAACGTTTCCAGTCCCATTTCCATTTCCATTCTCAATCTCATTCTTTGCTCTCGCTCCTCCCATTCTCGATTTCGACCTAACCACTACTCTCACCTCGACACACCGCACACCGCACACCTTCCTCCCATCTCGATCTCCGACCGCCGTATTTTGCTCACATTCCTTCAACCTTCCCGACCCATCCATTTCATTCCCGGAAACCCGACTCTCCCGTCGACTGACGCTTCTCTTTACCTCCCTCCTGCACGCTCTTTTGAACGCCCGCTCGTTTCTCCAACTCGAGTCCTACGTCCCGACTTCCATCTACCGCCTCATTCTCGCCGTATTTCACCACTCGACTTCTTCCACTGATACCCCTTTGGCAACCACTTCCGCAGATAATCTCCTGTGACAAAATCAGCCCTGCAAGACGACCGAATGGCTACAACCGAGGCCGCGCTGCAGCCGCACGGTAATTATACCCTATCTTTCTGTCCGCATCTGCTTTATCGCTGCGGCTGCCGTCTGCCCAAGGCGCAATCCTTCGGCAGCTCCAGGCCATGCCGTGTGGTCAGTCGCCTCAACCGCACAATAAACTGACAACATGGCAGATCGTCCCGATCGTGCTGGCCGCCGCCGTCCCTTTTCCACATGGGTCAAGAAGCTCACCAACTTCAAAAGCTCATCCTCTAGCGATGGAGGCGGCGTTCGCCTTCCCAGCTCCAAGCGCCAACAGGCCAAACTCCACGCAAAGATGCGAGCCTCCAAGAACAACAACCCCTATCCTCAATCAGGCCGAGTAGGCTCCGCCAGCCATGCCGATGTCGACGTCGAAACCAGTTCCTATTCATTCTCAACCGCTCTGAGCGGGAGCGCAACCTCGATTGAACGATCCTCTCGCATGTCTTCTCGAATGTCCTCCGACGATGGTCGCGCCCCACCCACCGCCGGCGCAAGATCCATGGCCCCCACGATTTCGACTGATCACGATGGCGCTCATTCCCTAGTCGCCCCTTCCCACGGCGCTCCATCCGTAGCAGGGACGAGTCGAACCATTGGAGGCGTCGAGTCTCGCAGAGGGGGAGACAGCACATTTTCATCCCCGGCGCCATCAGTGCGGTCATTGACGACCACCTTGACCACAATCCAGTCCATGACGCCAAATAACGGCGGCACCCATGTGCCAACGAACCCGACCAACAACGGCAATCACACATCGCACCAGGGACACACCCAATCCATCCATTTCAACCAACCATTCCCAACAGCACCGCCCGCATCTGCCATCCCCGCCCATCTTGCACCTGCGGGGTCGGCCTCTGGCAACCCGCAAACATACACAACGGCTACGGCCAACAACCTGCTTACTGATAACGCATCCATCATCACCCTAGCGTCCTCGTCACAACGTCGTCGCCGTCGCTCACTCGATACCGATGCCTCTGTCCGTGCCCTGGCCCCTTCCTCCCTCTGGGGCGGTAGCCGGGAGAGCCTTCCTCTGAGCGTCCTAAGCGCCAACATCGAACAGGGTGCGGGAATGCCGACAACTCCGGGGCTTCACCAAAGCAGCTCGCGTATAGCCAATGCCGAACGCACGAGCATATACTCGGCCACTGGTGTCGCTCCCGCCATACCGGGCGACCGAAACAGCTTTTATGCAAAGCAGAGCGGCACTGGGGACGGAGCGAGCGTTCGGAGCGGGCTGCTAGGCCACGGCCGGTCTGACAGCATCAGCGGGAGCATCGGCGGCGTGACCAGTCCGTTGACTAGTCCAAGAGAGACCTCGGAAAAGAGCGGAACGGAGGACAGGAGCGACGGTACGAACCGGGCCAAGGACGACGAGGAGCGCTAAGTACAATATTCCATCACTATTCACGACCATTTTCTCGCATTAATGAGTCTGGGGCTTGGGTGTTTGGCTGGCATCATGGAGGGGGACTGGGATGGTTCGGTACTTGGGATTGGGACGGTTTCATGGATATTACCCTCACGGGGCTCATACGCAGCCAGCTAGCCGTGAGTTGAGCATTGACGGAAATACATGCATTACGAACGAGGTCTGATTATCGTACTTTTCTTGTTTTCGCCATTGATTACCCAATTATGAAGTTTGGTGATTACTTACATGCCAGTCTTGACAAGTACTTACAGCAGGACTGCCCACTCGACAGCATTGTTTTAATACGGCAGGGGATCCAGGTCCAGTCCCTCGACGGAAAACTTGAAGGAGTCGTTGCGCGAGTAGCTTCCCCCGACGTCAATATCCAAGCGTCCGCGGATGCAGTCTTCAAAGTCGACGTCGGCGTAGATGATGCCCTCGTCGTCCTCCCACTGCGGGCCGGCGAGGACGTCGCCAAAGGGGCCGACGATGGAGGAGCCGCCGCGGGAGACCCAGTCTTTTGATTCGAGGGCCGGTTTCGACGAGGACGTGGCCTTTGTTGCTGTCTTGTTTGCGCCGTTTGCGCTGGTGCCGTTGCTGGTGCCGGGAAGGGCGATTTCGTTGCCGTCCTCCGTGAGGCACGAGTTGCGGCGGGCGCGGGTGGGGTAAATTTGGGCATCTGGGGCGTCTTCGATGCCGCTGTCGTTGTCTACTGCTGCTGCCGCCGTTGTCGCTGATGTGGAGGTTGACGCGGCAGTGGTAAGGGGCCTGGCGGCCATGTTGGACGAGACGACGAAGCAGCGGCCCTCGCAGGCGACGGTGCGCATGAGGGGAAGCCAGGTGTCGCGGCCGTCTGCGGTGGGGGCGAGGTAGAGGTTGATGTTTTGGGCGTAGAGGGACTGGCGGAGGAGGGGCATGTAGCTCTCCCAGCAGATCGCGGCGGCGAGGTTGATGCGGACGCCCTTTATCGTGGTGGAGACGGCGCGGAGGGTCGCGGGGGAGCCTTGGGCCCAGATGAGGCGTTCTGTTGCGGTCTTTTTGGACGGTGTTAGTACCTACCGTGCTTGGAAGAGCGAGATATAAGGGGCGCGAAAGGAAAAGACATACGGGCATCACTTTGCGTCTCTTCCCAATCATACCCAGCTTGGGACAGACGTAGACGACGGAGCAGTACAAGCTCCCGCCGGCGCGCTCGATGCACCCGACGACCAAAAACACGCCCGTCTGCGCGGCAATCTTCTCCAGCTCCTCCCTCGAGCCGTCGCCCCTCTCGACCTTGGCACCGGCGGCGTGCTGCGCGGGGAGCTGCTTCTTGACCCACCTGTCGCCGCCGCCGGCGCCCGCGTCGCCGACGGTGTCGCCGAGGTCGACGGCGGCGTTGAAGTAGGCGAGGAACTCGTCGCGGCCCTCGGGGGCGCGGGAGCCGATTTTGGAGCCGAAGGAGGCGCCGCGGGGGTAGCCTGCGCCCAGGTAGGCTTCGGGGAGGAGAAGGAGGTCTGCGCCCGAGGCGGAGGCGCGGGAGGCGAGGGTGGAGATGTCGGAGAGGGTTTGGGATGTTGTTGGGGCTGTTGCGGGGGATGCTGTTGCGAGGCGGATTGGAGGCATTTTGGCGGTTTGGTGAGGGTTGTGGATGTTTGTGGTGGTGATGCTGTTGGTGGTGATGGTTGTAAGTGGTGAGATTTGAGTGCAGGATGCTCGGTTTAGAGTCTTTAATGAACTGGGTCCAGCGAGAATGCTTGAAGCGATGATATCCGAGCTGGATAGATACAACTATGAGTCAATCCAGCTGAAGCGGTGTATTAGAGGTATTAAGATAACAATGTAGTTTCCCGCGGGATTTGAAATGGGCGACCGGGCCGATGAAGAAGAGAGAGAAGAAAAAAATTGGGCTGAAGACTCCAGTTTGGGAATGAGGTGATTCAAACGCCGAACGAAGGGCGCTATTGCTTCTCTGCAGGTTGAAAAAGGACCCACGATGCGGACGCCAGCGGAGGGGGACGGAAGGAGGGGGAAATGTTCGAACGGGAAGCTTTGCCTTTACTGGGGACGTCATTGTCACATTGTCTTTAGCTACCCCGCAGCAGGGTGGGCGGACCCCGAAAGCTGAACAACCACACAACCTAAGTGCCTAAGGTAAGGTAACACCCCCCGGGAGGAGCTCCACGGTTCGGCAACGTCGCGTGAGCTTCCAGGTTTAGGCGGTCGCAAGTGGGCCTTTGGGGACCCTTGCCCCTGGATGCTTGTACACTTGCGAATACATACCTCCGAGTTGCGGGTGCTGACGATCAGGGTGGCATCATGGTTGTATCTCGCAGGACCGTAATATGTTCTGGAACATAAATGTAGACAGGACGAAATCTCAACTAACGCAAGGTCGGATCTCACCATGGACGTCAACAAACCTCAAGGGAGGCCGTGACGCCGACGACTGCCCGAAGTAGAATGGAGGTGGGCGGGGTCGTCTGGTTCATATACCTAGGCTGGAGCGACGACGATTCGGAGTATGGGAGACCTCGTAACGCGGACGACTTCGATAAGGCTCAGATTGCAAGGCATGATCTCTCTAATGGACTGAGTACCTCCTACACGGTGAAGCAAGCCTTCTCATTGGGTAAACCTCGATGACCCTTGCCCCTCCACTGGCTTTTTGCGAGTCTGAGCTGGATGCTTGTACCCGTCGCGGATGTTGTCGATCATGGGTTAGCAGAGGCTTAAGACACTGAGATCGTTATAGGATTTGTGGAAGACTACAAGAATGAAAGCTGTTGCATAAGAAAGATACATCATCACCCGATCTTCGCCACCTTATCCTCGAATGTTAACCGAGCCAAAGCACCGCCTACACCTCACATATCGGACCCCATAATTCCGCCATCTCTCGTACCTTATAGCCATTTGTGCTATACAATTCGTGATGACTCAACAATTACCAGCTTGTAGTCATCAAACCTTGACCAAGACAGAAGTTGTAATTCAAGCTCGAGTGGGAATCTGTGACCTTGAGACAGAGTAAAGAATGACTCTATAGACCTCAAGACGCGCCGGATGTTGTTTGGCGGCACCGGTGGCATCGGTGGCATTCCGTTCGTCTTGTGCAACATTTGGCAGTCCACCAGTGATCATTGTCGACTTTGTCCAAGGAGCCACATTCTACACAACGAACGGCTTTTTGTCTTGAACATCCAGCCTGATAGGACGAAAATCTGGCCGAGGGTTCGTGAGAATAGTGAGGCTTTGGTTGGGTTGTATTCCTCTGTGGTTGATACAAGGGCGCAGGCTCGGCTACAATAAGGCTTGGTTGTTTTTGTTTGACAGTCGCAGCAGCGGGCACAAATCGAAGTTCATCCCAATCGGATCCCGTTGAGCTCGCGTATGACGCCTGCATCCATGTGAGAAGAGCCTGAAAGAATGACGGGTAGCTCATTACTTGTCCTTGTCCACTGCTCCGACTCATCTCTAAAAGGCGCTGGGACTGAACGGCGCGAATTGACTGACTAGAACGGGGGTTGAGGATGATCCGATATCACTGGAACTTCCAAGTAGAGATTTCCATGTTCCTGCTATAGGTGATCAAGACTGAGCGATAGTGAGGGGCAGACCGCAAGTTTATGAGGAAGGAACTTCGCAGAGTATGCTTTGTTCACTTGCATGCATGCGCTTGAGGCTGTGAGGTTTCACTTTGATCCAGAAAGTAGCCAATCAATATTGTTACATCCACAGGCGCTTATTTATCTTGCAGTCTGGCAGATGACTGGCTACGAGCTGACTGCGACTGTCAGCCTCCTGGATGCCTTACGAAACTAATGCAATAAGTGTCTGCCTCGTCTCTTTCCTCATATTGAAAGTATTTCCAGAACCTAGTCGTCCATTGCGACACGATAACCCGAGCTTTCCCATTCAGCAGGCCTCGATTGCTCTGAACTAGCTTTGGAGGCCTTGAGCGGGGTGCTCGTTTGCTTCACGGGCGTTGTCGATCGTCGACTTAAGAACTTGAAACCTGACATCGCAGACTCTACCATACTTGTGTCGTCTAAAGACCTTGGATAGTTACTTATCTAGCTTGAATAGCTCAAACGCCTTCGGTACTTTGTTCAGCGAATCTATGATCCTTCTTGAAGTCTGCTAGTACAATGCTCGCCCGCCGACTACCTTGTGTTACCCTGTGCTCAAAGCATTGATTGTAAGCAACGGAACAACCTTGTCATAGAACAGTTTAGCATTGAAGTTCGTGCGAGTCGTGAGAGGCAGAAGGAGAAGACTATTTATAGTCATTGGACCAGTAAATCTACTCCTTCTCCAGAGCCAACATGGTTCAAAGCCTCAACTATACCTTGTCATGATTTACAGAGATACGTCCGATCTTCCCGGATAGTTACTCAAATGTTCAGGCTTTGGGAAGGAATTGTCTTGACCATAGGTGAAAAATAACTTGACATCATTTTTACCCGAAAACAACAGATGGCTACCAAACTGATTAGCTAAGTTCGCAAAGGAGCAAGTATTTTGGAGACAACTACAAGATTGAATTTTATACATGATTCATGCGTGTAAGGTAGCTTTGCATCGACCTAAATAAGTTCGCTATGACCTCTGTTCGCCTCTCTTAAATCCATCTCTGTTCGCCTCTCCTAAATCCATCAGGATACCATCTTCTCCTACGGCCATGCACGCACCGCTTTAAACAAGCATCGTCGTCGTGGGCCAAAGGATGTTTCTCGGGCCAAGGGCTACGATGGGTGTCTATGTTCTCTTCGTAAGGTACGGCCGAGTAATTGCGTGTAGTAAACCCAGGATAGATTGGCATCGTGACCATTCGTGGTTGTGTCCTGACCACCTGTGGTTGCCGTGTGGGCGGAGGTCGCGCGGTCACTTGGCGTTCATCAGGTGACATTGATGATGGCTCCTCGCGTTTCATGATGACCATTCCGGCTTGCAGCTGTGTCTCGACGGAGTGAGCCAAGGCATCCGCAGTGCTAAGCCATAGGGGATAGAAAGGGGCAATGTAGAAGAGGCTGCTGGTTATGGAAACGACTCACCTCTCCAAATCCCAAAGGTCTCCCATCATATCTAACAAGTGCATTGGAGCTCGACGTTCTATACTCGCGCAATTCTGCAGTTGAATGAGTTGATGCACAGAGAAAAGAATAACAGCGCTCCTACCTGGGTACCTGCGCGCTACGGCATTTTCAGGACGCATGGTGTGAACGGTGATGAACATTAGAGGTAGATAGTCTCTTCACTAAGGCCAGTTAGTATGGGAGCCGCTGGCTGGGGAAACATCGTAGATGAGAAGGTCAAGTTATCCCGTACCATGGATTAAAAGACTTACATATTAAATGTAACTGAATGACGGCGGGGAAGATTACATATGCGGGCCCCTCTTACGGGATCGAGGTGGCTTACCGCCTGGGTTAGTGATAATGTGCAGGCGAGGTGCATACCAAAAGCTGCCTCGCGGACTCAGGAGTGCATTTCTGTTCAAAGTGCAGCCAATCACGAGTGAACACTCGATTGCCACGTATTCTTGTGTTTGGTGAACGAATGGGAGGTAAGGAGGTGACCAACACGTACCTACGTACCTAAGTATCTAAGAACCACGCACAGGTAGATGTCAGAGTATGCCTTGCCGTCCAGCTTTGGGTCACCTTCCCCTACCTCTGGCCCGTTCCGGCATATGTAACTCGCACATTCGCCGTTGAGGTTTTCTGCCCTGGAGATATTGCAACAACCAAGCAAACCTTTATAACAATGCCGACACAGCCGCCAATCCACCGTATTCCTCATGGGTCAGTGGCCTCGCTCGAATGTCAAGAAGGGCCTACTGAAGAGGAAATCAAAGAAAAGCCGTGGAAATACATCGGTTACAAAGGCTACACCAACTTCATCTCCTCGGATGATGACTTCTTCCTACTTCGTAGATTCGACTCACTGAATGTTCGCGCAGCACTGGCACTCCAGGATGAGCTGTCGTGGCTTGAGGAAGAGTTGGGAGCTTTAGACAATGAGTTCAGTGCAAAAGCCGCGGATGACTACAATAACGGCACGCTGAGACAAGATGTGCCAGAGCGATTGGATCTAGTCAGAATAATATCGGCGAAGCTAAGGGAATACAGTACGATACCATAACCTGTCAATCTTGGCCAAAGTAAATCTGGGTGTTGACTAACAGTTGCAATCTAGACGAGTTCTTGATACAACAACACACACTCCGGAAGTTGTCCACAGCACCACGACGAGACGTGAAAAGTCTTCGTAACTGGCATCACAACCATGACTATGGGGCTATTTCAGAGGATGAGCAGAGGTATTTGAGTCATGAGAAGGACCTCGTAGCGGTGGCAGCAAGAGAGAAGACCCCATTACGTCAAGTTATTGATGGATCCCTCCGTCTACGAACGCTTAGTCTATGGAGACACGGAGAAGAAAAGGTTGCGACTTACGATAAGAAGGAAGTCACTTACTATTCTGACAAACGGATGGACAGCTTCGCCTCAGCCGTTATCATCGCCATTGGAGTTCTGATGCTTATAACGCCCATATGGATCCTCCAGGCCTTGGCGGACCTCAAGGCTAAACTTGCAGTCATCACGGTCTTCATCTTTGTCTTCCTCCTCGTTCTTTCCCTGGCCATGGTGGCGAAACCTTTCGAAGCATTGGGCGCAACTGCAGCGTATGATAATGTCTGCCTCCCAATACAAGTTCCATGACTAACGTGAGCTTAGATACGCGGCGGTACTGATGGTCTTCCTTCAAATACAGTCAGGAGACTCTTGATCTCAATTTTGAATGAGCCCAGGAACTTTGTATGATAGTAAATTCCGGAGAAACAGCCTGTACTGTAAGGTTGGGAGTGACTTTCCGGATAGTTTGAGACAACCTAACGGCCAAATACCTTTTATACAGGATGTCAAGGTAACATGAGTTTGCTACTAGCCAACGCCGCACTACCAAGGAATTCATCAAGGTTGCTTCCAACCTTGAGCCCACGGCCCATACCCTCTACAGCCGAGCAAAGTTGAAGTGTCTGTCGGGGTGGGCGAGCAACTGCACTCTGGCCGAGTGGTCTAGCGTGCGACGTCTTCGTCCATAGATCGCAAACTGAAATCTATCTAAGCCCTCTGCACCCAGCGTCTTGCATAGGCACTATAGTCTGCCATTTTGCCAGTTCAAGTCTCCCTTTTGACACTTTTTTATGGACCGTAGTGGCCTTTCTAGTGTTCAATAGGATAGAGGAGAGCGTTGAGATTAGCTATCTACCGGAATTATCTATCATTAGTATACATCACATTATATCTCATCCACCAAATTACTCAGATCAGCCTTCCTCAACCTCGCCTCCGTAAGCAACAACTCCTTGGGAAACCACTCCGTCAACCTACCACCAGGGAATCCAACCCCTTTCTCTAGCACAACATCCTCCTTGCCCGCAACCATGACCCCCAACGCGGTTCCGCAAAGCCAGGCCCAGACCATACCATCACCACAATACCCAGCACTAACCCATTGTCCCGCCTCAACTCCCATCCACGGATCCTCCTCCTCCATCTCATCAACCGTCTTCCCAACCTTCTTCACCTGAATACTCTCCCTCCCCTTCTTCGACCCGAACCAAGACGAGGACGAACCAACCTTCCCCCTAACCCCCGCAACACTCGCAGGAACCCGCCCAACAAAAGGCGCCATATCCCCCGTGACACTCAAAACACCACTCCAAACCCTCACCACGTCGCCCCTCCACCTTGCCCCAAACACGGCGTTCATGACCCCAGACACATGCGCAATCGTCATCCCGTCCGTCCCGGAATCGTCGTACACGCCAACCATGTCCACCCCCTCGCCCGCGCTCCGCGCGAACCCGCCGCCGAGCATCACGTCCCCGTTAGGCCGCTGCGTGACGTAGTCGAAGGCGCCGTTGCCGTAGATGATGCTCCATGATTTGCTTCCTGTGTGTGTATTATCCGGCCACTGGAAGCCTCCTCCTTCTCCTTGTTGAGTCGTTTGCCCTGAGGGTGTCGTCGTCGAGGGCCGCTGAGCAGTCATATGACCCTTCACACCCGCCATCTTCCCCCTCAACCCAGGCAAAAACTGCCCAGCATGCGCATTCGTAGCATGAACAACGTGCCTCGCCCTAATCGCCCCCCTCGCCGTCCTAACAACAAACGGCCTCCCGCCCCCCTCGCCATCAACCACGACCTCCTCAACAGGCGTATTCATCTCCAAGCTCAACCTGCCCCCAAACTCATCAACCAACTCTTTCCAAATCTTCGCAACAAGCCGATACGGCCACAGCGCGCCGGCGCCATACACCAACCCACCCGCAACATGACCCCCCTCAACCCCAAACTTCGCCCTCGTCTCCTCCCTTCCCAGCACCGCAATCTCGACCTCGGGCACCCACCGCCTCAACTCCTCCACCTCCTTCTTCCCGGCCTCGAACCCCTTGTCGTCGAGGAAGAAATCCACAGTCTCGACGCGTCTGCACTCGGCCACCTCCCTGCCCGCCTCCCCGCCAACCTCCAACACGGCCTCCGCGGTCCGCAGCGCAAACCTGGTCAACCTCGCCGCGCCCTCTTTACCAAAATACTTTGCCAGCTTCGAAAACAGCTCGTGCGGACTCGCTTTCACGTGTCCCCCATTCCGCCCCGTCGCACCAGCGCATAACCTCCTCGCCTCAAGCACCACGACCCTCGGTCCCTTCTTCCCCCCTTCTCCTCCATCCGATGCGCCTGCGGCGGTATACAGACTCCTCGCCACCGCCGCCCCCGTAATCCCGCTGCCGATAATAACAACATCCGCCTCAGACGGCAGCGTTTGCGACCGCGCGTCCACGAGCTCCGGGAACGGCGGGTCGTCGAGCCAGTACGGGCTCGAAGGGTTCGCGTGCGGCAGGCCCGGCGGGGCGTTGACGCGGGCCAGGAGGGCCTGGTACGTCTTGTTCAGGTCCAGGAGAAGTTTTGCGACGGCGCCGACGGTTTTTGTTGCGCCGCGGAGGGCGGAGAGGACGGAGCCCATTCTGCCTTTGTGATTTTTTTTCTTCACTATCTTGAGGCGGAATAGGAATGGAATCATTCTGTTTGAACTTGTTCGCGACGGAAGCGAGTCGAGCGTGCGACCAAATGTGATCTCTTGGTGGGCCACTTCTTATGGTACAACTACCCAAAGACAAACCTCCTACTGAGATTTTAAGTGACTTAAATATTATTGAGGGGAGCACTGATCAAGTTCGTCATGAGATATTGGATGAAACCAGCATAGCCATGTGTCCAAGTGTGCCGACAAAGAAGCATCCCTTCCAATATTATACTTCAATCGACGTCGGAAGCTTACATAAGACACCCGGACCTCAAGCGGCCGGCAACCCGGCAACTCGGAAACAGAGGGTGAAAGAGGCCCGTGGCCGTGGCGTTTACTTACTTTCCACCCATCACCTGGACTCAGTACTGGACTTTCCCATCATTGGAACACAAAAGGGCCATTGGATCGATTCAAGAGGGAATTTGGGTAAAAAGAAGTTCTACTCATTTTGTCTACCTTGACGTCTAAACCTAACCCCCAAAGCAACACAAGAAACGCAAACGCCTTCATACCCCCCTTTACCAATACTTCGACTTCACATCACAGCATTCCTCATCAGCAACGCCCACGTCGGACGTCAGACACGGCACAATTCTGCAGCAGCCACCACTCAACCTCATGAGAGAGAGACAGAAAAGTGAAAAGTACAAAACATCTCAGTTGCCTTGAAATCTGTATTTGTGACGCCGAACCGATGCCGGGTATGTTGTCAAATGCCGTCCCTGACTCCGCCGAACCCCAAGTCCCATCCCATTCCATAAAAAGCCACACACACCCAATCCAGAATAATAAAAATAATTTCCCAAATTATCAACATGAAGAAAGAGACACCCCTTCCCCTCTCTCTCCCCCTCTTCCTCCAAATCATTCGCTGACAGACCCCTCCTCATCCGAGACGTGGTCGATGTCGATATCATCAACATCCATGCTGTGACCTCGTCCGTGACAATCCGGACCCATCTCACCACGAATATCCTTCTGGATCTTGAGGAAATATTTCCTCAACGTTCGAAGACCTCGGAGGAAGCCACGGTCCGGCTCGTTGGGATGCCGCGGCGGACACGGCTTTCCCTCTGCAAGGTCGCCCTTGGTCAGGCTATTTGCAAAGTCGGCAATCTTGAAGTCGATGCCGCGCTTCTTCTTCTGCTTCTTCTTCTCGCGCAACGCCGACGTCTCCTCCGTGTCGGTTGCAAAGTCAGTCGTGGAATCGTCAACGACTGTATCGTATTCATTACCCTCGCTGGTCGTGTCGCCATCGTAAAACATGAGGAGGCTGGCGGCGTAGAATCGGTACCCGTCCAGTCCTCGGACGATCGACTCGAGGTGGTCCAGCTTTTGCAGGATAGTCGGAATGTGTCGCAGGATGCTCGAGTAGTCGACGCCATCGTACAAGAATCGCGTCAAAGCGTCCTGGAACTCCTGGCCGGCTTTGAGATCACGCCCAAAGTACTTGTCCTTGAAGACGTAGCTCTGGCTCTTGACATCCCAGACTTGAAGTCCGCATACACGCACGCCAAGTTCACGCGAGGTCGTCCTGGCACACTTGCCCTGCTGCGACTTTTGTTTCTTGGGCGTGGCCTCTACGCCGTACTGTCTGGTGCCCATCTTTAGGTCCATGATACAGGGCCGCTTCATGCCTGCCGTGAGATCTTCCAACAGGAGGAAGTACTCGACGCGGGAGTCTCTTTGCGTCTGCGCTTCCTTCGGATTCACAGGTCGCGGGATTCTGCGGAACTCTTGGGTAGGGCTAGGCACCTCGGACGGAACAGTTGACGCATACGTAGAGTGCTCAGCTTCGGTCGGAACGTCGGCTTGAGATGCATCAGCAGCAGGCACTGGGAGACTCAGTTCTTTCGCGGCACCTTCACTGGCATTTGTGCCATTCGTGCTTGGCGCTTCGATCATGGGCGAGTTCAATTGGGACGTGATGAGGGACTGCCCGCCTTCGTCTTCACCTCTATAACCAGCGTCATCCGCCTCTTCCCAGTACTTGAGATGTCCTCTAGACTCCGTCACTGTTCGTGGCTTCCGTCGGAGGCCTGTTCCGGAGTAACGTCTCTTCTTCTTTTGAGCAATAATCTTGTCTGCAAGAGTCTCCGGCTCCGGTGCACTGGTACCAGTCACGTCCTTGACATCGCTATCTTCGGCTTCTGCCTCGGCAGCCTCGAGATGGCTCGGGCGCTCCATGGCAATGCTCTCTGTGGGAGGGGGCGAGGAGCTGCTTGGCCGAAGCGGGCTAGGCTTTTGAGGTGCGTGACCTTCTACGGCAGACGGATCCTGTCTACGAACCAAGTCGGGCACGGAGCTAGCTGGCCTCAACGTCGGCTGCTTACGAAAAGCCATCGACTTTTGGTGTGGGCGGCGGTGCTTGTGGATCGGAATTGGCTGCTTCAAGAAGACGTCGTTGAACACCTCATTGCGCAGCCGCTTGTTGACGGTCGTTGCACCCCAACTATTCGCGTGCCTGTCATCCAGGCTCGGCCGTGTTGGAGATGCCATTTTGCTCTGCTCAGGGTTGTCCGGAAGACCTGCAGATGATGTGCTTCGGCCCCGAGTCGGCATGACTACTGGAGGAGGCGTTGGTTGCAGCAGATTCCGGGGCAGGATATGCCAGTTATCATCAAAGGTCACCGTCGGGATTGGCTCGGGGGCGGAAGAAAGTGACTGGCTAATGATACGGCGATGCTCCTGGCTCGGCTGAGACGCGCCGTTGGATCCGTTCGACTTAGTCGCGTCCGCCGACACCGTGGCACCAATCTCTCCGGTCGGCTTCCGCTCTAGCAAAGGAGCGTCATCACGCCTGTGGGTCGACTTGCGCCGGGGTTGCTTGTGAAAAGTCACATTCAAGACACCAATGTACCGTGGGAGAAATGAGAGCAAATCAGGATGATCCTGTTCCACATTTTCGTAAAACTCATTCTCCCGATTGTTGAGCTGTTTGCAGACAGCTCTCTTCGAAAAGCGCCAAAGTGTGGTGTGACCGCCCACCTGGTGCTTGTAGGGGATGAGTTCGATGGCCTCGAGAGGCTCTTTCTGCTCGACTTGATGATGGTGCGCGTGGTCATCAATGTGTGCAGGGATGTGCTTCGGCGTCGGTGGCTCCGGCTCTTCTTCAGCCGTCACGTCTTCAATGGTGCCCGGTTGAACCTCACGTAAAGTAATGTTGGGCTCGCCGGGCAGACGCTTCGGCTTCGATTTGGAAGGGGTTGCGGGAGGCTGGTCAGGAGAGAGCAGCTCCTCCTCGGGCTCGGGCTCATCAGCCTTCACCAGCCAAGGGTGAAAGTCTTCGGCTCTGGCTTTCGATATGGTGCGACCGGGCGTCTGTCTCGGTTTCGCAACGTCTCTCTCGCGTTCTGAAGCCTCTTCCAAGCCGGGGTGCGGCACAAATACAGCTGAAGAAATCTTTTCCTCGGAGGACTCGTCTCCCTCCTCGTGGCTTTCCCCAGGGTCGCTGCTGTCGGCTGACAGACGTCGGGTCTCGACCGCTTCGGATTCTTCAATCGAGGGTAGCGAGGCGTCGCCCTCTTTCTCTCCATTCGCAGGAGCGGACGTGTTGCTGGCCGGTCTAGCGCCATCGGTATCCACCTTGTGGAAAATGTCGCCATTGACCTTCCTTAACCCAAAGTAATCTTGCGTCGGCGAGTCCGTCAAGATGGGAGTCTCGCCAGCCTGGGGCGACTGAAGGGGGAAAGTCTTGACTCTTTCTAGTTGCTTTGGCACCCAATCCTTCTTGTCGAGAATTCTAGGCGAGGGCTGAGCACTGGCAGCTTTGGCGAAATCTTCAATGGCAATGTCAGACGAGAGCGGCTCCTGTGAATCTGAGCTCAGAGAGGGCTTCTCCTTGGGTCGCTGGTCCTTTCTGCGTCCTGGCGTCTTCTCCTCCTTGGGCAATCCCTCTCGGAAGAATCGCAGGCTGTAGCTAGCCTTTCGGCTGCGAGCGTTGGGCTCGGCGCCAATCATGGCTTCGTGAACGGACTTCTCCACTTGGCCATCTTCTTGTCCGTCGATGGCCTCGCTCGACCCAATCGACCATATCTTCTCGGGTCCAACGGAGAAGCGTTGCTCCAGTTTCTTCGGTCGACCTTCAGGCACGGTAGTGTTATCCTGTTGTAGTTTCTGGTCCATTTGAGCGACTGAACTGAGAGATCCCTCTGGGCTGGTGGAGTGAGAGTGAGCTCTGCTTTTTCGGAGGCCTCCCTGTGCTCGCGTCTCCGGATCAACCCGCTCCAAGGAGGAACCCCTGCCACGAGGTGAGCGCGTGCTCTTGAGAAAGTCGCGATGATCCAGCAGCATTGCTCGAATACCCTGAAAACTGGCCATATCGTAGGTGGGCGATGTCATTATCTCCATGTCGGCGTTGGGAGTATGAACAACAGCGGTCTGGGTAGTAATGTCGGAAGGGGGTACGATGCCGGGTTGAGGAGCGCTTCGGGGAGTTACTGAGGCGCCATGGCCGGGAAGGGAGGGAACATTGCGGAGGTCGTCGACGGCAAGAGGATCCAGGCCAGCAGTGGCAGAAGACGGGTTGGAGGTTGAGTTTGGGTTGGAAGGGACGAAGTCGGCGGTAGGCGAAGGCAGCGAGCGGGTGGAAAGCTGGCTGGAGGGTTGTGGTGTTTGGTCTTGGTGGGAATGTGTTCTCGAAGGGATGCCGCGAGCTGAGGCGAGGGCTTGGGTTAGCAAGGACGGACCGGACTGCCTCGGGAGGGCAGCAGGGCCTCGGGGCTTTTTAATATTCGGGTCGGCATGGCTCGAGACATCCTGCTGGTGCTGGGTGACAGCGGCCGTGGCAGGGGGTGGATCTGCAGCCTGGGCTAGGGGGGTGTCTAGAACTTGAAGTGATTGCGGAGGGACTTGAGGCAGAGTTTGGTGTTGGAGAGCGGCAGCGGCAGTAGGAGTAGGAGCAGGCGCAGCGACCGGGGCAGCAGCAGCAAGACCAGCATCAGTAACAGGCTCGGTACCAGGATCGTCGAGACCAGTCGGGTTGGCAGCTGGATCTCTCGGACTGGGACTTTGACTGGACTTGGGACTGGAGATGATGGGGGCGGAAGCGGAGGCGGAAGTGGGAGTGGACGTGGACGACGACGACGACGACAAATGCGCGGAGCTCACCAGGGTCGCGGGTGCGGCATTTTCGGCGTTACGAGGCGGGCTGGACATGAGGGAAA